TTATCTGCTCTAATGAAATAATTGTTCTGTTCGGGACTTTATTCATAGTATGTCCCAGTTTCTATTATGCAGTAGACACGTTATTTCATTCAAATAGTTTTTAAAGCCAATAAGGACACAAAACATACAAAATAACCAACAGTGTATGACATCAACATATATACATTATATCAATAATCATCAAATGTTTGGAGATGATCGATTTGATTGATAAAGAAACTACCTGCCAAATTTTTCATGTAGGTACACATATAATATCAAAATTAATATATAACTTATAAGTCTCTTACCAGGTACATTACACTCAACGTTATTTCTCTTAAGAACAAAAAACTCTTCAGTATCACAATTTTGACTGATATGATTTACACTCTGCCCAAGAATGTTGACGTATAGTAATAACAATCTTAACACTTACAAAATAACATTCACATATTCACATGTATTCTGTATCGATTATCTTAAAACTTACAAAATAATATATACATATTCACATGTAATTCTGCATCTGTTATTATAATAGATATATACATATAAACATTACATGTAATACTCATTGAAAATTGTAATTATTATTGACTTTAGTACATAAACAATATTGACATATGTGTCACGGTTCAGAACTGTTCACTATTTAGAGCAGAAATGGTCGGATAGCTCAGACGTTAGTGTCCTAAACGGTACTTGAGAGTCTAGGTTCGAGTACCAGTCAGGCTCCACATTTTTCTTACCCTGTGATACTTTGCGCCCAACGGGGCACCATGGCTGCATATAGCTCAGAGTTTAAGTTCGCATATTGCTTGTAAATCTGTGAATCTTAATAAAGCAGAGGAGTATGCCACTGTTCAGGAAAAGATTTGTAAGCGGCCGAATAGCTCAATCGGAGTCCCCGGTTCGAATTTCGGTCAGACTGCACATTTCTCTCACCCTATGAAATACGACAAAGCATTTATAGATACAGTTATAGAATAAATCACAAATCTTATGAACTATTTATTACACAATGATTATATACAATACTTCTATTACGTTATATCTACGATTTTTACAAATGAGTTTGTATATATAATCACTTATGACTTTATAATAATATTTTATGTTTATTGGAGGTGATTTATAGGCCCACTGGGCCGTGTATATTTGATATGTTGTAAAATTAGATTTGTAAAATAAGTTTACACATGTCATTAAAATAAATAAATTACTTACTTCCTTACTTATACACATAAATGAAATATAAAGGTCCCTTCACATTATCTGCGGATTTCATAATTGAAATTAAACTTTATCAGTATAAGAATATTTGGAGTATCGGTGAAAATTCGAAAGTCCAATTTAAAAATTGATTTTACTATCAATATATGAGCCGTGTCACGACAAAACCAACATAGTGCGGTTGCTACCAGCATGGATCCAGTCCAGCCTGCGCATCCGCGCTGTCTGATCAGGATCCATGCTGTTCGCTGTCAGTTTCTCTACTTGTAATAAATTTGGTAAGCGAATAGCATGGATCCCGATCAGACTGCGCGGATGCGCAAGCTGGTCTGGATCCATGCTGGTCGCAAACCCACTATGTTGGTTTTGTCGTGACGCGGCTCATATAATTTAGTATGTTCTTTATGATTTTTTAAAACAAAGTACGATAATTTTTATTTTTTAAACAGATTTTTACTCATACAAAAACTGTTTCCAAGATACATAATTTTATTTAAACCAGGGTACAAATGTTAATTTACATAGCACGGCCATGTTCCCCTGTCCTGAACAATGTTCAAGTCACCGTTTATGTAGAAACACGGCTGATGGGAGACGAGGAAACTCGGGAGATGATGATGATATTTTTCAAGAAATGCTATTTCGAATAATTTGACATCATCTATCAACAATACATGTACATACACCCCAGTGACATCCATCTGATTTTAGCTTGTTAACTTAGATATAATTGGACCTGGTGGCAGGGTACTTCAAAATATACTTTAAGATTAATCTTGTTTGTGTCTTGTTTAAATGACGAATTCCGCCAGATAAAAGGATAACAACAACGCGACGCTGCAAAAACATTTGAAAGAATGCAGCAGTTATGTCTGTTTCATTTTAATATGTCGGGTTAGAGTCTTTATAATATCTAGAACAAAATCACATAGGATTACAATTTTATTCCCTTATTTCGTACATGAATTATATTAGAAATTAACAGTAAAAATTACCGTTAAGACATTCAACACCAATTGCGCTAACTTACGTAATCGGAGAAAACCGACACTCGTTATACCCTGCTGCGTTTATGATCAATATCCGGATCAATATCCGGCTTAATCAGTATTGGCTTCGATTATCGCAATACAGCACGTGGCTATTACACAATATTATGTCATAAATGAGACCGCGCTAAAGAATCAAAATTGGGGAATTCGGAACTTCATAAGATTTCTATTCAAAACATGTGTACAAAAACGCAAATTTTTATGTTTCCTGAAATAAAAGATTAAATAAATAAATAAATGAATGAATGAATGAATGAATGAATGGATGAATGAATGAATGAATAAATGAATGAATGAATGAATGAATGAATGAATGAATAAATAATAAATAAATATATAAATATAAGAATAAATGAGTGATGAATGTATGAATAAATGAATGAATGAATAAATGAATGAATGATTGGTTGATTGATTCAATGAATGAATGAATGAATGAATGAATGAATGAATGAATGAATGAATGAATGAATGAATGAATGAATGAATGAATGAATGAATGAATGAATGAATGAATGAATGAATGAATGAATGAATGAATGATGAATGAATGAATGAATGAATGAAGTTAATGAATGTTAATGAATGAATGAATGAATGAATGATTGAGATATATTTGTTGATTTTTTCTTACATATGCAAGTACATGTATTATATTATGTATAGCCTATTTTTTGTAGGACATATTGTTTGGTTTTATTAACCTGTCAATTACATACTGATTACACGGTCGATGCACACAGTATATTAATCTTCGATAGATGTTCGGTAAGTTCCGTGAGATGTACGCTGTACGATGGAATTTAATTTAATTTGTATCTCTAAACTAAGTGTACTCAGCGTTATAGCGCAACAGGGTAAATCACGAGTTTATAATATAAGTGCCGCACGTGTTTTAAGTTCGAGGCCGCGTTGGTCCGTGTTTTTTTTCTTATTAATATTTTCAACATTATTGAATCTATATTTGATTATTTTATGTTGTTCGTTTTTTTTATTATGTTTTACTTTATTTTGTTATGTATATACTCTTTTTAAATAACATGTTTTTTAAGAATTCATGTTTGAAATTAAAACGGATTAAAATCAATAAATGTCTTTTCAATTCCTTTAAAACACACTACAAATCTGTTCCATTAAATATACTGCAAAAATAAAGAAAGGGTACTAAAACAATGGAAACAGTAAGGATCGAACCAAAGACCTCTCAATTATCATGCATTCTCTTTACCGACTGTCCTATTGTGAATCAACGAAAACCTTCACATTCAGCTAGGCTAAGCGTGACTTTCAATCCATGACTAATATACTCCACATTAATTCTCGTAAACTACACGGACCAAACCGAAGTGGAATCGAATATTTAAATGAACCCTATAATGTATTCATAATTGACAGGTCAATAAAATCAGACTATATATAAACGTAAAATTTAAATGCTGTGTGGACAATCCCGATTTCATCTTCGTGATTTCACAATTATTTTAACTTTCACGATTTCAACTTCACAGATTCACGATTTTAATATAATTAATTCATGTTTTGAACATCACAATTTCAACTTTATCATTTTCTCATCTTTGGCTCATCATTATAAAATATTATAATGTTAATGAAAAAGAAATTACAAAATAACATGATTCACCATAGATGCAAAATACAAAAAAGTACTATCTAATCGTCAATCGCAATTGTAAAGTATTCGCTATTTATCTGCGGGTGTATGCTAAAAAGCAAACACAGCGGTATTGAGCTAGAATACCGCGTCTGCATGCTACAGGTGGATGTCTTACACTTTCTGTGCACTGACGGTATCATTCGCTATTTCTATATACAGAATCCGTATTTGCACGAATACGGAATTTCGTATTTTAGTAATATACGGACTTGTCATAAAAATTCCGTATATTAGTAAAATACGGACTTCGTACATCAAATTTCCAGTATATTACGAGTGTACGGAGTTCGTATACTAGTCATATACGGACTGATATAATATACGGTCCCGTACATCTCCGTATTTCAAGTTTCCCGTATTCTTACACGTATATTAATGATATACGGAATTCCGTACACTTCCGTATATCCATGTCTTTTTCGCAGTGTACATAATCTTACACACAACACATGTTAAGGAAATTGGCATATAATTGGCAGGGACTGACCTGTCGCCTTGATCTTGAAGATTTAGCTAGGCTACATGGGTAGATTTCCATTGGGATGGCAATGATCGAGCCTTCATCAATGGACTTTTGGAAGTTAACTTCTAGGATTCCCTGCTCTATATATAGGAAGATTAGTTTGAAATCATATGATTTCCAACCTCCTTAAAAAATCACAATTGGAGTGAATAGTCAATTTCAACGTATATTTGGGGACATTTGTCATATTGTAAATATGTGTAATAATGAGAAGAACAATGAGAGCGTGGTCAATTTATTTTAGATAACCCATTAACAAAGCCTCGTGAGCATATCACCTGTGATTGGTCATTATTATAAAATTCTGATGTGATGGGGTTAGTCAATCATGTGATATAAGATAGGCGACAATCTGTAAAGGTCTAACACAACTAAATTAAAGCTTATACGAACGGTAGGTACAATTTAGCATAGCCTAACCTTAGAATGACTATGACGATAAATTCATGGGGTAATGTTTTAGCCAATGTTTACAGTGGATATAAGCTTTTATTATTGCGCGTGAAGATTAAGTCTTATTTGACGTTGTTTTATACATCATTCTTATAAAAGAAAGTAAATTTTAGTCTTTTTTAAAAGGATTAGTTCATCTTTTACTGATTTTCTTTTATTTCTTTTCTTTCATTTTCGGAAAACTCAATGCACTACTTTATAGAATCGCAAGAAGCAAAGCTGTACGTCCTAAGCCAAATATTTCAAGTCAAGTCAAGAGTGTTCCGCTGTTTTTAGTTCCATTTAATCTTAAATTATACAGCTACATAACTAGTTTTAATTAGATGAATGGAATGTCAATAACCCTGCGGATGTTTTAACTTTCAAAGGTATTGTTTCAATATTAAACACGGTTTCACGTGCTATCCGAAACATGGTTGTCCGGAACAGAGCAACTTTTCTAAAATAAACCAGTGACGCTGTCTATAAAGAGTATATACTTTAACTTGAAAATGTGTTATCTGTACGTCAGGGTTAATTATTTGATCCTTTATATACTTTGTGTCTCTTGTCATCTCAAACATGCAAAAAGGGCTTAGCCCTTCAATCAGAGCCAAGTCATCCTACAGCCTACAGGTATTTGGCTTGTAGGTCTTATCTATCTATATTGTGGTTTAGGTCTTATCTATCTATATTGACAGATTTTGATTTTTATAATATCGGCTATATGCAAGTTTAGTTAGACAGTGACATGGAGCTAAATTTAAGATGGAGAAGAGACTGTGACGTCACACAGTTAAAATCGATTAGTATTGGCGGAATTATGTTCCCGCAAGTTATCATAAGTCGCGAGATTTGATGCATCCTGGGTAAAAATAGCAAAAATACCGCTATATTGAATTCCCGGATATACATCAACAGAAAAGACTAAACATTTTTTACTTATATAAGAAGCAATAGTTATTTATTCTAAAATGTACAAAACACACTTTTCCCCAATTTCTCCGATGAAAATTCATCATGCATGTAGGCAATGTAACCAATAATTAAGGGATATCGCTGAAGTTTAACGATAGTTTGTCATACTGTGATACATTACAAGTATTTTTATCAAGGCATTGAATTAAGCAAATTATTAGGTTTTCAGTAATATCCAATTCAGCTTACTTTTGTTGTTTAAACAGACATAACTAATTTGATAAAGGAGATGCAACAAAAGATTCCAAAATTTCATGGTTAGGATATATACATGTAAAAGAGAAGAAGAAGCTTGGGACCCAGTATTTTTGTTATATTTCAATTAAAAGTTTACTGAGACTTTGTTAAGCTCACTTTTGGCGCAAAATTAAGTCCTACATTTTATACCCATTCAAAACATTGGAAACTAGCAATCCAAGTAGGAAATTCAGACCGATCTTGATCATGCTGAATTATGGATTTATTTTATAATATACAATTGATAGGTTTGTTTTACTTAGACCAATCAAGTATATGTATCTTAAATAAGTATAAGCAATATTCCTGACACTTTTATTTAGACAAACAGCTTAATTAAGTGTGTTAAAAAATCAGAATTCAGCAATAATATATTTGGTTATTCCTGAAAACATTTAATTGTTTAGTCATGTGATTTTACGTTTCTCACAATATTAATATTACTATTGCAGATTTACAACATCAAGTTTGAAACAGCAAGTATGAATAAACTGCAAGTATGATAAACTACAAGTCAGAAACATGATAACTGTGAGCTAAACATGAGTGAGAGAGCTACAGATAGCCAATTGTTGTCATGTGACACAAACGAGTTAAAACCAGATGTCCATGGAAAACAGGACGGCAAGCCAAGCCCTATTAATCATCCGAATTTCATTCCTGACGCTAGTACGAAATTTTCCGATCCAAGATCAAAACCGAAAGCTTTCCTGATGGAGAGTAAGCCACCCGTTGGACCTGTAGATAGCAATGGTAACAAGACAAAGGTGCAGGTTAGTGAAAATTAAATAAGAACATCTCCATGGATATGAAAAAAATCTTAAGTAAAAAAAATGTAGTAGTCTTACTGTAATGCTGTCCCGCCAAAAAAATTCTAACATCAGCCAATAATGTAGCAAATCGGTTAATCCGGAATGTTATTTTTATGCTACCGCCATTAATGGCGGGGGGGGGGGCATATAGTCAGTTACCCTGTCCCGTCATTCCATCATCATTAGTTTCCCTTCATTATCTTAGTAACGGTTGCACACATTGAACTTAAATTTGACATATGGATATATCATGAGAAAATACAGGTCAAGTTCGAATTTGGTCATGGTCCGATGATTTTTGACAGAGTTATGCGCCTTGATGAATTTTTCAGTTTCTGTTCATTATATCCCCAACAGTTGTACACATTTATTCAAATTTGACATATAGATAATCATACGTCAAAGGTCCTGGGCAGGTCAAGTTCGAATTTGGTCATGGTTTGATGATTTTTGGCAAGGTAATGCCCCTTTCACTTTGAAAATGATATGAAATTTTCAGTTTCCGTTCATTATCTCCCCAACAGTTGTACATATTCAACTCAAATTTGACATATAGATACATCTTAGGAATATGCAGTTCAAGTTTGCATTTGGTCAGTGTTCAATAATTTTGGACAAATTTATCTCTCTTGAATGTTGGAAAAAATTTGAATTTTCAATTTTAGCACTCATACTTTTGTGGAAGTAAGTGTATGTAATCATTATTTTGGCTTCAAATATGCAATATGCAATTTACAAAAGGTTAACACTGAATATTTTCAGTGCCTTGAACTTTGTATAAAATGGTTTGTGTTAACATTGAATAGTTTTAAGGGCCGCTTTCAGAACTTAAAATTAATTGTGCAGTAAAGGTAGCAAAATGTAAGGAAAGTGGTATGTTTACTTCCATATAACATACTAATTCATTATGTATAATTATATGCATCGCCAACAGAGCTAAATGAGCTAAAGACAGTTTTCATGTACATTGTTTTTGGCAAATACAATGTAAGTATTATTTTGGAACTGTAGCAAGATACCAAAAATATTACAAAGATTTTAAGAAATAAAAATGATAGAATTTCTGAGTCATAACTGTCCTGTAAGATATTAATAGCATTTCTGTGCTGTTTTTGGGACTGCTGCTTAGCTGTGCATTAGTTATCCTAAAAAATTTTATAAGATAATTTTATGTACTTGTCTTTATGTTAGAATTTCATTATAAACATGTCAATGAAAATGTGATTCTGTTTTGTTGATATGTGACAGAATATTATATGAGCCACGTCACAACAAAACCAACATAGTGCTCGGATGCGCAGGCTGGTCTGGATCCATGCTGGGCGCAAACGCACTATGTTGGTTTTGTCGTGACGCGGCTCATATTTATTTTCAGGCAGTTTTATTGTGTTATGGAGAAGGTTAAAGACATTAAATTATTTCATCATAATTAAAATTTGATATTTGTATAATTATCATGTCTTTTTGTTTGAAATACAGCTTTCTTAAAAAATTATATACTTAAAGTTTGTTTGTTTGTTTGATTGGGAATTAAGCCACACCAAGTCAGTATAGGTCATACGGCAACGTTCCAGTGGAGGAAGACTTCAGGTGTCTCTCCAGGCATTATTTCAGGCACAAACGGTCACCTTAGTAGAACTATTGACATTCGGTTAGCTAGCTTGATGGTTTCCTCTCATAAAAGAGTCCAAAGACCATGTTGGGATTCGAACCCATAGCGGTGAGGGGCTAGTGGTTTGAAGTCAACTACCTTAACCACTCAGCCACGATCGCCTTTTATAAACTTACAGCCGGGTTGATTATTTTGTTTGATCTTCAGACTCACCGGAGCGTGTCACATGACCATGGCCATCATCGCAGCGAGTCACATGACTACAACAAGAACCGTGGGTCGGTTGCATCATTTGGATCATGTGACAGTAAAACTTATGAGGAACAGGAAGTGGTCATATCATACCAAGATGAAGCTGTTGATATAGAAGAAACAGGGGCCGGCTCAGGTAACTGTTTTATATACTGTGAATTCACATAATTGCTAGGGCATAAAAGTTCGTGGCTTTAACAGAAAGAACATTTTCGTCACAGGCATCAGATTATCGGATCAGGAGGAAAAATATACTTTAAATGATAGTATATTTTTAAGAATTTTTTTTTTGGGTTTTGATATTTAACATGAAAAACTTGGCTTTTTATTAATCTGGTCTTAGTTTTTTCGTCCCTGGCTCGATAGTCTTGTGTCTGTGATTTTCATGTGTTCTTGAATTCATGGATTGTCTATTTCTGCAACAATAAAGATTTATGTTTGTTTATTATGTCCCTGTCTTAAGTTATTTGTGAATAAAAATATAGTATTGTTTGGTTGAAGAAAGTACATTTAAGGGGCATTTGATTGAGAGATAGCTAATCCTAAAATAGATCACATGGTTAAGGGAATATGGTTTCAATAGTATATCTGATTTGTTGATTTTTATTTCCCCCTCCCCCTATATATGTATTCAAACTCTTTTCTGGTTGAGATGTTGATAGAAAATCAAATTATATGACAGTTGTAAATTACAGACACAATAATAGAATCTGACTTGAGAATTTAATACATTTTAACAAGGCGATAAGTATAAATATAATTAAGTAATCTCCACATGTGGCTATAACTATCTGCAACCGAAGATTTTTAGGAAGATTGAAAAGTGTTCAAATGAATTTTTTCAGGTAAAGAAGTTCCGTGCAGACTTGTGATAATCTCCAGTAAGATGCGGAACACTGCTGCCATTTTACGTGCCTTACAGCCTAACGTAGTCCTTGTTCAGTATAAATATTATAATTCAACCCTGGATAGCATATTAGGTATGTCAAGTCTTTTTTTTTCATGTGAGATACATGTTTTTAAGTTTTTCTACACTAAATATCTTCTCTTCACCCCCCCCATTATTATGTCTCCCCCACCTCGGGGGGAGACATATTGTTTTTGCCCTGTCCGTCAGTCCGTCCGTCCGTCCGTCCGTCCGTCCGTCAGTCCGTCCGTCCATTCTTCGTTTCCGGACGATAACTAGAGTTCCTTTTGACCTACAGCCCTCAAACTTCATAGGATGATTGGTCTTATAGAGCTGATGATCCCTATTGTTTTTGGGGTCAGTAGGTCAAAGGTCAAGGTCACACTGACCGTTGGTCAATTTCTCGTTTCCGGATGATAACTAGAGTTCCTTTAGACCTACAGACCTCAAACTTCATAGGATGATTGGTCTTATTGAGCAGATGATCCCTATTGTTTTTGGGGTCAGTAGTTCAAAGGTCAAGGTCACAGTGACCGTTGGTCAATTTCTCGTTTCCGGATGATAACTAGAGTTCCTTTAGACCTACAGACCTCAAACTTCATAGGATGATTGGTCTTATAGAGCAGATGATCCCTATTGTTTTTGGGGTCAGTAGGTCAAAGGTCAAGGTCACACTGACCGTTGGTCAATTTCTCGTTTCCGGATGATAACTAGAGTTCCTTTTGACCTACAGCCCTCAAACTTCATAGGATGATTGGTCTTATAGAGCTGATGATCCCTATTGTTTTTGGGGTCAGTAGGTCAAAGGTCAAGGTCACACTGACCGTTGGTCAATTTCTCGTTTCCGGATGATAACTAGAGTTCCTCTAGACCTACAGCCCTCAAACTTCATAGGATGATTGGTCTTATTGAGCAGATGATCCCTATAGTTTTTGGGGTCAGTAGTTCAAAGGTCAAGGTCACAGTGACCGTTGGTCAATTTCTCGTTTCCGGATGATAACTAGAGTTCCTTTTGACCTACAGCCCTCAAACTTCATAGGATGATTGGTCTTATAGAGCAGATGATCCCTATTGTTTTTGGGGTCAGTAGGTCAAAGGTCAAGGTCACAGTGACCGTTGGTCAATTTCTCGTTTCCGGATGATAACTAGAGTTCCTTTTGACCTACAGCCCTCAAACTTCATAGGATGATTGGTCTTATAGAGCAGATGATCCCTATTGTTTTTGGGGTCAGTAGGTCAAAGGTCAAGGTCACAGTGCAGTGGGGGAGACATGCGCTTTTTTACAAAAGCATCCTCTAGTTTTTATTTGGTTATGTCGCACTAACATTCTATAGATCAATTGACAACTTCCCAGCTTTACTGGTGGAGGAAGACCTCCGATGCCTCCTGTACATTATTACAGGCACAAACAGGTACCTGAGTAGAACCAACAATGTCCCATAAGCTAACTGGATTCTAAGCTGTCTCCACATGTAGAATCTAATAATGCTTGCCCACGACCTAACAGCAGTGAGAGGCAAGTGGTTTGAAGTGAATGGCCTTTAACCACTCAGCCACAGATGAAGGACTTATTTGTTATTCAATCTGGTCAAAACCATCCATTTTTTTTATGGAAAATTTTCACAATATGAAATGACTGGATAGCCAATAGAAGAGACTTTGATTGTCAGACTGCAAAGATAATTTTCATTATCATTTTTATCCTTTTTTTTTTTTTTTAAAGAAATCAGAATCAAATTTTGAGTGCTTTGTTTTTAGACCATGCATTATTCTATGACAACATAGAAAAACTGATATCCATTTTCATTCTCAGATGCTCATATAAATAGAGTTGATACAAAATAAGTTGAACTGGGTAAAAAAATGTTAGAAAAAAAAAACAATCTTGACATTATTTAGTTTATTACCATCACAAAAACAATGTTAAACAGTGGCAAATATTAGTTTTTGATGTAACACAGTCATCAGTTAATAAGATACACAACAAAATGATGTCACGACAAAACCAACATAGTGCGTTTGCGACCATTTGTAATAGAGTTTGTAAGCGAACAGCATGGATCCTGATCAGACTGCGTGGATGCGCAGGCTGGTCTGGATCCATGCTGGTTGCAAACGTACTATGTTGGTTTTGTCATGAAGCGGCTCATTTTTCAATTTTCATTTCAGAACTTGTGTCTAGAAGTCTTGGAGGCAGAAAATGTTCCAGCATTTCCCTGATATTAAGTTGTTCTGGTTTATCTATACAGCTGAGTGGGAAAGAAGACAAGGTAGGTTTTATTTTTTCATTTAATAATGCTTCATGTTCTTTAGCTTAGTCAATTACTTATGATCAAGTTAATAATGAATGGTTTAGTAAAAAAGGCTTTTCTTTGAAAAATAAAACAACCCATGACTAAACCAATAACTGTTGGCTGAGCCAATAACCAATGACTGAGGCATTAACCCGTGGCTGAGACAGAGTCATTAACCCGTGGCTGAGCCAATAACCAACAGCTGAGCCATTAACATGTGGCTGAGCCAATAACCAAAGGCTGTGCCATTAATCCGTGGCTGAGCCAATAACCAATGGCTGAGCCAATAACCAATGACTGAGCCATTAATCCATGGCTGAGTCATTAATCCATGGCTGAGCCAATAACCAATGGTTGAGCCATTAACATGTGACTGAGCCAATAACCAATGGCTGAGCCATCAACCCCTGGCCGAGCCAATAACCAATGGCTGAACCAATAACATGTGGCTGAGCCATTAACCAATGGCTGAGCTATTAAGCCATGGCCTAGCCACTAACCAATGATTGAGTCATTAACCCATGGCTAAGCCAATAACCAATGGCTTATTCTAAAACCCATGACTGCATCAATAACCATTTGCTGAGTGAAAAAGAACCATGGCTGAGAGAAAAACTCATGGTTGAGTCAATAACCATTTGTTGAGTAAACACCCATAGCTGAGTGAAAAACTCATAATTGAGCAAATAGCCAATGGCTAAGTCAAATTTAATGGCTGATTTACTTACTAATGGCTGAATCAATTGTCTATATCAAATTCAAAACCAATGGCTGATTTAATAATTAAATGCTGTGTCAATAGTGAGTAACTCTATACCTTCTGAATTTTCATAACTTACATCATATACTTGTCCAGCTTGTGTAGGAAATGTACATTAAATAGATATCAAGTTTGTCAGCCTGACTGTGACAACAATATAGAGCCTGGTCACACTGCAAGGATGTTCAGATTGGTCGTGCTCTACTGGTGACAAAGGCTAATCATTATCATTTTAAGCAAGGGAAGGGTTCATTCTAATTTGGTGAACATTTAAACATAATTAACAAAGATAATTGAATGCATAGAATATATATTTTACTGTAGCCATGGAAACAGGTATGAAAGTGAAATATAGATAGACAATACATGATATATACCGATGAAGCGTCAATATTGGTAACCTATGACTCGTTAAAGGAACTCCACTGAGGGCAAAAAGCCTAAAAAATAAAATTTGAATGTTTTACATAGATCAGCTGGGTTTCTTTAAAACAGAAAGATAATGCAAAAGTTGATAAAAAATATATTGAAAATCTTATTTTTATAGTATTTTAACCCAATTTTAGTGGGAAAGATAATATATTTTATCCCAATTTTGAGTTATTTTTCAAAATTGATCTGGAATTATGCATACAAGCTATTGATCAAATACATCAAATGAAATATTAATGTCAAAAAATATTTTCAGTCCAGTCATCTCAATAAAACCTCAGTGGAGTCCCTTTAATATGATTTGAACGGAAACACTAAACACTAACAGCTGTTAACTTTTTTATTTCAGACACAGTTTATTACCAGACAGACACTGACGGATAATGAGGCAGTGAAGGAATTTTTTATGACACTAGTCAATAAGCATGTGGATAAGTCAGATTCTAGTGCAAGACTGGACTTCATGTCGTGTAACCTTCTTCTCCACACTGACGGAATGTCCATTGATAAAGAGATTGAGAATTGTGTTGGGGTAAGGGACTTAGATTTCACTTTCACAAACATTATTTTGATATTCTTGTGGGGAGGGGGGGAGCAAGTGAGAGTAGGGGGGGGGGGTCATAAAATTGGGGGAGAATGTGGGCTTTATGTATTGATGTGACGTCATTTGCGCTGCATATAAATATAGCGTTAAAGCGCACTAATGTTTGTGTTACACTATAGGCGCGTTAATGAAAAATGACTCTTTTTTACAGTTTACTGTTCTTATATATGTTATAAATAGAACATTATACTGTGTTGATTCAATACTAAATTTATTGAACTCATTCAATAAAACAATATCATGTTTTCGCCGGAGGCTCGCGGAGGCTCGCATAATATGATTTTATTCAACTCGTTCAATAAATTATCAAACCTACACACAAAAAATCCTCTATATATTAAAACTTGGCTTTTTATTGTGGCAAAGACATAATCACATTAAGTGAAAAACCATCAGAACTGAACTGGAAAAAGCATAGATCTAGACTACAGAATGTTTTTATTAAAAAAATATTGACCCTCTTGCCTGAATTATTATTACATTTTTGGAGAATAGATACAGGGTAATCTTATTGTAAACTGAATAAAGTTCATTCTGTAATGGCCCTCTGTTAAAAAAAAGAATTTTTAAAAAAAAGGCTCGTTATCCTGTTTTGGTGGCATGTCCGTCCGTCTGTGACACAATTTGTGTGGACAACTCGTCAAAGAACTAGGAGTGCAATTTCATACTAATATTACAGGAATGATCAAGTCAAGTCTGCATTTCATGGGGATTTACCAGTTCAATGATTTTTGTCAGAGTTATGGCCCAGCAATGATATTTTTTTTTAAAGTATGTCTGGTATACATGAACTTATGCAATTTGAATGGATTGTAAGCATCTCAATTTTTGCATTTAGATGTTGAAAATTCAGAACTCCAATGATCTGAAAATGAAGTTCTGAACTCAAAGCACGGCAAATCAATTTTTAGCTCGACTATTCGAAGAATATGAGAGCTATTGTAGTCGCGTCGGCGTCAGCGTCCGCGTCGGCGTCTGCGTTGGTTAAAGTTTTTTGTAAAGTCAAATATCTCAATTATTACTTGAGATATTCAATTGAAACTTACAATACTTATTTATAGTAACAAGGTTCATCAGATTGACAAGTTGGATAACTCTGTCTACAATATTGACAGAATTATGCCCCTTTTTAACTTAGAAATTTTGGTTAAAGTTTTATGTAAAGTCAAATATCTCAATTATTGCTTGAGATATTCAATTGAAACTTACAATACTTATTTATAGTAACAAGGTACATCAGATTGACAAGTTGGATAACTGTGCCTACAATATTGACAGAATTATTTGCCCCTTTGGAACTTAGAAATTTTGGTTAAAGTTTTTTTGTAAAGTCCAATATCTAAATTATTGCTTGAGATATTCAATTGAAATTTAAAATACTTTTTTTATAGTAACAATGTACATCAGTTTGCAAAATTTGCTTAACTCTGCCTGCAATATTTGCAGAATTATTTACCCCTTTGAAACTTAGAAATTTTGGTTAAAGGTCTTCAAAGATATTTACTTGAAACTTTACACATGCACTTAGGGTCATAATAGGAGGGTCATAATTGTATGTCACTGACCAAGTTCCATAACTCTATCTTGCATTAAGCCTGATTCATATCCCCTTTTCTACTTAGTCTCTTAGTTAATGTTTACATGCAAGTTTTACATATCTCAATAACTATTTAAGATATTTATTTAAAACTTCACAGATGCATTTAGGGTCATAATTGTAGGTCACTGACAAAGATCCATAATTCTATCTTGCATTTAGGCTGATATTTCTCCCCTTTTTCAACTTCCATGAAATTCATGGTAAAGTTTTGCTTGTAAGCTGTTATCTCAATAACTACTGAAGGGTTTGTGCCTTTTTTGGGACATTTTATGCATTGATAATAATAAAGCAGTGATTTACTTGATAAAACATCTTAATAACAAGCCTTTGTACCTTTTCTGTCAAATTTATGTATTCATAGGTAATTAGTATTATTATACTCAATAAAACACCCTTGTGACATTACCTTCCGAATAGTCAAGTCAATACTGTATAATTAGACTCTCTCTAAGGCCTATAACATGAATTTATAAAAAAAAATTAGCCCTTTTGTGAACTTAAAAAATTTAACATTATCAAGGCTCTTTTACTATCAAGCACTTAGAATAGTCGAGCGTGCTGTCCTACCGACAGCTCTTGTTTGTTTTACAAACTCAAAGCAAGTTAAGGGGTTAAATGCTTCAAAATTGTGATTTTAAGCTATTTCATTTTCTTTCCAGATTCCTGTAAGATTTTATAAAGATCTAGGAGGGGCAGAAGTTATTGCAACAAATGGAGAGGAACAATCAAAAACGTAAATATTACCATTTTTTCTACAGAAAATACAATAAAAATAAGAATTTGTTTTTTGTTATTTTATAAAGCAGCAAGCATACAGATTAATATAAAATTTGAGAGATATCTTTATAATTATTATATTTTATAATTATATTTTCATAATGTAAACTTTTCAAAAATAAAATATTGTCAAGTGAATAAAGAAAGTAATTTACACATTGCAAGTGTACTTAAAATCTACAAAAAGTACCAAATATATTACCATCTTACTGTAGTAATGCTTTAAAGGGACTCCACTGAGGTTTAAAAGCCTAAAAACATAACATTTAAATTTCTTACATAAATGAGCTGAGACACTTTAAACAGAAATATATGCAACGATAGTTAAGAAATATACTTTGAAATACAGTCGAGACTGTCATATGCGACTTTCCAAGGGATCTTCAGAAAAAGGTCACATATGACAGGGAGTCTCTAAATACAGTCTCAAAGAAAATTAAATTTAAATACCATCTATCTGTCTATATACCATTGTGACTTAACATACATAACTGTGTGAGGGAATAATATCTAACCAATTGCAAATAAACATAGGTAATTGTAAATTTTTTATGTAAATAAAATAAGAATCCATGTAAAACAACTATATATTAGCATGAATATCACATAAATTTTTAATATTTAATTTAATTTTATTTTTTGTATTAAGATTTAAATTGAATCTTTTTTGTATAAATTAACTGGAATTTGATGCATCCATGTACTTGTAAAAGTTAAACATATCCATATCCAAATTTTCTGGTTTGGTATCCATATTTTTTCAGTATTAATTATGCAGCCATAGAAAGGTAAATTAAAAAAATGCTGCCTAAAATATCTTCCGTTGGCACTCTATAATTAAAAAAAAAATCTGACACAAGCTTAATCCAGTTTACTCAGGTCATTATACATGTATGTACATTACACACCATGCTTCCCATTTACAGACGCTTAGTGACGTCACTCGATACCTGTATACATGTTAACTGTGTAATTGAGACAGAGGTGTGTAGACTTTGTTTGCTACTGGATTATAATTGGACTTAATTATTTTGGCCCTCTGGGTGTTAAAATAGGTATTATTTATCTGATTAACAGACAATTAAAGGGTGTGAAAGTCGTTTAAATCAGACAAAACATTGCATTGGGACCAGACAATTAGGGTCGCTTGTCACATATGACAGGGAGTCGTTTAATTCAGACCATTTTTATAGGAAAATACGTTGGGAGTACTGAAACAAGGTCAGATAAGACAGGGAGTCGTTTAAATCAGGGGGTCGCTAAGGCAGTCTCGACTGTAAATTGAAAATCATATTTTTATGCTTATCTTAGTTCGATTTGAGTTAAAAGTGTTTAAACACTTTTCATTTTGGGGCATTTTTAGCTCGACTGTTCGATAAGAATAAGTAGAGCTATTGTAGTCACCCGAGCGTCGGCGTCCGCGTCGGCGTAACCACTTATGATAAAGTTTTTGTAATACCTCAAATATTTTCAAAGTCAATTGACATATGGCTTTGAAACTTTGCACACTTGTTCACCATCATGACCCCAACCTGTAGACAAGAGGAGGTAACTGTATCAAGTATTTTTTTTTACTATCAAGCTCTAAGAATAGTCGAGCGTTGCTGTCCTACCGACAGCTCTTGTTAAATTAGCAGCACTTACTTGTTGATGTCTTGTGAAGATAAGTATCATATCATACAACATGGGGTTTTTACACAACAAGTTACAATGCAACAAAAAGATAATGTGTCCGGTCGATTATTATTACAAAAAAAAAAAAAATACAACCTGAAACCAATTGCATATCAATGACACGTAAGATAAGAAATTGAAAACAATATTAAAGTAAATTAAATATTTTTCTGTTATTTTAGTTATATTCTGATGGATATGTTAGTAATGTTTTACTTTTTACTTTATTTGTCAGGACTGTAGGTGAGCAGTATTTTAAGCTAGAGAAATTACGAGGCTGGAGCGGTCAGCAACAACAAACTCTGGCTGGCTTCGAGAAAATACAAACTGTTGGCAAAGGTAAACATTACACTTGAAATTAACGTATTAAATCTATATTGTACTAACCCTTACACAAAATATGAGCCACGTCATGACAAAACCAACGTAATGCGTTTGCGACCAGCATGGATCCAGACCAGCCTGCGCATCTACGCAGTCTGATCAGGATCCATGCTGTTCGCTTACAAACCCTATTACAAGTAGAGAAACTGATAGGGAACTGCATGAATCCTGATCAGACTGCGCGGTTGCGCAGGCTGGTCTGGATCCATGCTGGTCGCAAACGCATAACGTTGGTTTTGTCGTGAAGCGGCTCATATATTGTTGCAGTTGCACATGTATAAAATTAAACTGGGAGCACAGGACATAACCGAATATCACTGTACCCTGTCTAGTGGGCCTATATGATTCAATGTGTACCCTGTCTTGCAAATAAGAGCATAGGTTACTTCTGATCAGTGTACCTTACTTGGGAGCCTATATATTTTAACCAGTGCCAGATTCTAACGTCCAAAAAATATATTATATGGACTTATTCATTTTTTTCAGTTTATTATTTCTTGGAAAAATTTCAAAATATGTACTGACTGAATAGCGAACAATGCACCAAGGTCGCATGAGTTGATTCACTTGGCTAATTAAGAGGAAATAAGGTTGTAGCAAGATACATGCTCAATAATAACAATAAGAAGAAATTTAAACCATTTATATTATTTTACCCTTTTGTGACATTTAAAAAAGGAAAAGAAAAAAGAATAATGTGGTCACTGTTTGTGGGATAGTAGCTTTCAATTTATTATCTTCTGAATGAATATGTCAGGCAGCTAAATGATGTCTTCTATATAGAAAATACAATAGCGTACTTTAAATTCTTTAATTGTTTTATTGATTTTTTTTTATTATGGGTGACTAGAATTATAAATTAAAGGGAGAATACTTTTATTTATTAACATTTAAGGTACTTGACTTCAGAATTATAAATCAAAGGGAGTCAACTTTTATTGATTATCATAATTATGCAGTATTTTACTTAAGAATTATAAATTAAAGGGAGACAACTTTTATTGATTTACATATGTGGTAGTTTTCTTAAGAATTATAAATCAAAGGGAGACAACTTTTATTTTTCTAAAGGTGCCTATGGAGCTGCAGTTCTATACAAGAAGAAGGATGATGACTCCCTTGTAATTCTAAAAGAAATCAACATGCATGATCTGAAAGCTACAGAGAGGCAAATGGCTCTAAATGAGGTAATACACTTTATAATGCTCTTCTTGTTTTTATTCTCCCTAAAATGTATTCCATTATTGGCTTTGAGGAAAATGGTTATATAAGAATCCAACAACGGCTGCTGGCTCAGACCGTATTATCAAGCCCGAGGGTAGAGGGCAGAGCCTCGTTACAGCTAAGCAGTATATACCCGAGAGCTAGATATTCCTGTCTGTGACGACAGCTGGTGTTTGATTCTTTTTCTTGCATATTACACATTTATTGATATTACGAGAAGAAATTACGAAACTAATATTTTCATTTAGCACTTTTTTCTTATGCTTATAGTAGAGTATGACTTAACAGCTTCATTCTTAATGGCACAATGACGTCATCTTAAGAACGCAAATTAAAAAAATTCCCTGTATTATAGATAGTATGAATGATAAATGGTACCCTGTGGGTTCCAATCCTGACAGGGGCTTTGGATTCTTTCATTCGAGGAAGCTATCCAGCTAGCTTACAAAACATGGGTTCTACTCAGGTGCCCGTTCGTGCCTGAAATAATGCATGGAAGGGCACCTAAGGTCTTCTCCCACCAGTAAAGGTGGAACGTCGCCATATGACCTATACTGTGTCGGTGTGACATTAAACCCAATCAAACAAACAAATGATACTTCAGCACTGAATGATGATGCATAATATATTACTATTTAGTGATAATGCATGATACTTTATCATATAGTTGTAGCATTATTGCATAAATATTCACATGATGATGATATATATTGTTTTACAATTTTAATTTACATTATATTAAACCAGGAGGCACTTCGCTTAAAGTTATAAAATGTTAACAAATTAAACAAATTTTTCAGGTGAATATTTTGGCTATGTTAGAACATCCAAACATCATCAGTTATTTTGACTCGTTTGAGGAGGATGGCGTGATAATGATAGAAATGGAATATGCAGACGGAGGGTAAGAACTTTACTATCTCACTAACTGGATAGAAAAATCTGTAAATGTTACAAGAAATAGCGATGCTTGAAAAATCGGCAAGGCTCGTTCCCAATGGAACTCATCAACCTTGGGTTATGATAACCCTATCCTCTATTTAACCCAATGATACTTTTACGACAATTTGTTTCATGGTAGATTTGATAACCTGTCATAACGTTGACTAACCAATCAAAATTGACAAATAAAGTAAGAAATTTATGCAGAGCAAACTTTATGTAAAATCAACATTATTGACTTAATTGGTAAGGTTAAATATTAACAAATTTCTACTTTCATTTCTGTTAAATTTACATGGTTGATTTACTTTTAAAATTTGCAAAATTTAATCCCTAGTGAACATTTCTGATTTTACAGTAGTAAGAAATTTCAATACATGTACATTATATCATATTTGAGCCGTGTCACGACAAAACCAACATAATGGGTTTGCGACCAGCATAGATCCAGATCAGCCTGTGCATCCACGCAGTCTTATCAGGATCCATGCTGTTCGCTTACAAACCCTATAACAAGTAGAGAAACTGATAGCGAGCAGCATGGATCCTGATCAGACTGCACGGATGCGCAGGCTGGTCTGGATCCATGCTAGTCGCAAACCCATTATGTTGGTTTTGTCAGGACGTGGCTCAAATATCTCCACATCTCAAAATTAACCACCTTTACAGTATTAACATAATTCTACTTTCATTCCTGTTAAATTTACATGGTTAATAAACTTTTATGATTTGTGGAATTAAATCCCTGGCTAATTTTTCTGATTTTACAGTAGTAAGAAATATAAATACATTTAGCCTGGAACCCCGTTGTATCGATCTATTTACCCATAAATCACAACTGCATTTAAAAAGATTCAAATCTCCCTGAATATTGATTTTGTATCATTTATTTTGATCCTTTTGCTATAATATTTACATTGCAAATATCACTGATATATACTTTTTAAAGATTTGTAAATAGATCGATACAATGAATAGCACGATACAATGGGGTTCCACTATACATTATATCATATTTATATTATAGAACATTAGCCAAGTACCTGTCCAATCTACAGAGCCCGCTGGAGGAGAGAGATCTTATTTTAATGTTTCAGCAAATGGTGGCTGCTATCAGACATATACATGAACATAAGATACTTCATAGGTAGGTTATTATATCACATAACCCGTGGCGAAGGAGTGTAATAAAGCCATTTAATAAAAACGATATTACACTAGACGATATTACGCTAGTGTAATAATATGTCACTTGCGCTATAGATATAGCGTTAAAGCGCGCTAATGTTTGTGTTACACTATAGGCGCGTCAAATAAAAATGACTCTTGTTAACAGTTTACCGTTCTTATTTTGTATATTTGATAAATAGAATATTATATTCGTGTAGTTTCAATACTGTATTTATTGTACTTGTTGAATAAAACAATATTTTGCTCGCCAGAAGCTCACAAAATATGATTTTATTCAATTTATTCAATAAATTTAGTATTTTACCTACACTCATTCAATATCCTCTATATCAACATAACAATCTTCACATGTAGGTTATTATTACAATAAGATATTTTTCACAGGTTATTATCAGACTATTATTAGACTAAAGATGTCTTGACAAAAAATGACAAAATGGGCTAAATCTATTCTATATTTGCTGAGATTTAATCAGGCCAATTGAAAAGTATCTCATTATTTTGCAGAGATTTGAAGACAGCCAATATATTTCTTACAAAAGAAGGAGTGGTTAAAGTTGGAGATTTTGGGATATCTAAAATGATGTCGACAGCTAATAAAGGTGCAAACACAGTTCTAGGTACTCCTTACTACATCAGCCCAGAAATGGTATGTTTTGACTAACTTTTCTATTTTGGGGAGTTGGGAGGTTTGGGGAGGCTTCAATTATATTGTAACTATATTATATTGCAATTTGTCCTAAAAAATCAGCACTGATTCATTCACTTCAAAAATAACATGTGGTTTTGTTTTTGAAAACTTAAAATCTACATATCAGTCAATTTTGTGAACTTATTTGCTATAAGTTTGCATACTTGTTATCTAATGAAGTTTAAAAAATAAAATTTATGTATCTTCACTTCATTTTGAAGGTAAACCATTTAGGTTATAGTTTTATACAATGTATGCATCCTAATTTAAGTGCGAATGAAAACCATTTGGGTAACGGTTTTATTTGATGCATGTATACAGTAATCTTCAGAGTAAGGAAAACCATTTGGGTTATGGTTTTATTTGATGCATGTATACAGTATATTAACTTCAGAGTAAGGAAAACCATTTGGGTTATGGTTTTATATGATGCATGTATACAGTAAACTATTTTCAGAGTAAGGAAAACCATTTGGGTTATGGATTTAAACAATGTATGCATCGTAATTTCAGTGTAAACAAAAACCATTTAGGTTATGGTTTTATACAATGTATGCATTCAAATTTCAGTGTAAACAAAAACCATTTAGGTTATGGTTTTATACAATGTATGCATTCAAATTTCAGTGTGAACAAAAACCATTTAGGTTATGGTTTTATACAATGTATGCATCTAAATTTCATTGTGAACGAAAACCATTTAGGTTATGGTTTTATACAATGCTATGCATTCAAATTTCATTGTGAACGAAAACCATTTAGGTTATGGTTTTATACAATGCTATGCATTCAAATTTCATTGTGAACGAAAACCATTTAGGTTATGGTTTTATACAATGCTATGCATTCAAATTTCATTGTGAACAAAAACCATTTAGGTTATGGTTTTATACAATGTATGCATCTAAATTTCATTGTGAACGAAAACCATTTAGATTATGGTTTCATACAATGTATGCATCTAAATTTCATTGTGAACGAAAACCATTCAGGTTATGGTTTTATACAATGCTTGCATCGTAATTTCAGTGCGAGGGTAAACCTTACAATGACAAGTCAGATATCTGGGCTCTTGGCTGTATACTTTACGAGATGGCTTGTCTACAGAAGACATTTGAAGGAACAAATTTACCAGCCCTCGTCAACAAAATTATGAAGGTATATATATGATTAAGATCACAAATTTTTCTCACCAGGTGATGTTTCTTTATGGGGTACTTGCCTACACCTCCCAAAAAGATTATGGGTTATGAGTCCTATTTGAGTTGATACCATTAATTTCATCATTTTCTCGCCTTAGTGCTGTAACAGTTTAAGTCCTACTAAATAAAATAGGAGTTAATGGGCTACTGCACTAAAGTGATGATATTATTATACTATATTGATTAATATAAGTTGCAAGAACTTGTTTCGGAATCGAGCTTGAATAAATATGTTGAAACCAAACTAAGGTGACGATTTGACACAACAATTGTTCAGTCAAAGAGGCAGACATAGAGTTGTAAATGATCATATTGTAATCAATCAATCATTCAATCAATCAATCAGGTAGTCAGTCAGTCAATCAGTCAGTCAGTCTATAAATTACATGTTTTTATTATTATCAAGCTGATATAATCTAGTTTATGCTTAGAAAATTTACATGCCTATAACAATTTATTAGAGAACAAGAATGTTTTAGGTCATTATTCATTGTGTGAGTTACAGGAGTTGAAATTAACTACAAATAAAAAAAAAAATTGCTGTGATAGATTACTTGAAGAAAGTCAGCAGTCATGTAATTTAGCACTGGCCTGTTGGCCCATGGCCAGTGAAAATTAGTTCAGGCCAGTGAAAATTTTAAGAAAATTTAGTTAAATATAATATTATAATTTCAAAACTGGAATTTTGGCCAGTAAATTCAAAATCTTAAATTCTGTGTCCTGACTCGTATTGTAGATATTATTGTATAATATTATAAAGATCAGCTGTTCATGCTTTAAATTCAAAATGAAACATATATTCTGTTCTGTTCTGTTCATAGTATATTTTAATCAGGGTCTATTAATATTTTTACAGGGTCAGTTTGCTCCAGTCAAGGGAAACTACTCCCAGGACTTTAAAGATTTAATCATGTTGATGTTGTCACAAGATCCTGAAAACAGGCCATCAGCCCATGACTTGTTATATACACATATACCTAAGGTAAGTTGTTAGACAAAAGCCATACCTTCTCTGTGAATATAAAGAATAACAATAAAGGTGCCACTGCATGGATTATATTTGGTTTGTTTTATAGCCATATTTCCAATAGAAAATAGTATATTATTTTCCCGATCCACAGGAAAAAATACCCAATGGAAAGTCACAAAATACAAATATTTAAAAAAAAAAAAACAGTCTAAAATCTTTGAAAATAAAGGCTTCTTCACTGTTATAGTGCTTAAATGTTTTAGGATGCCATCATACATAGATTGTTTGCATTTATTTAATCACTGCACATTTTCAGTCTTGCTTTTTTTCCCCAATTTTTAACAAAGATTGCCAAAATTTCCAATTCCATTGGTATTGGTCATGTTCCGAAAAGGCCATCCTTAAAAAAATGTTTGTTTGCAGTAACCCGACCCAGAATTTTCAAGGTGGGTAGGTAGGTCGATTTTTTTTTTTTTTCACTGAACTGTACTCCCAAATAAACATGGAATTTCAAAATGCTGGACAATATATGCTTTGATAATCTGGTAACAATTAATAAATTGATAACTGAATTCTAATTTGATAAGACCTACATTTTATTTCTTCTATTAACCTTTAAAAGAACGAAAACAAAGCACAAGGCATTATTTTCTTGATTCAAAAAAAAAAATTTTTTATCCAGACCATGAAAAAAAATTTTGAGTAGGGGCAAATTTTGTGAGTCGGTCGCGTTACTGCAAACAAACATTTTTTTAAGGATGGCCAAATCCTTGGAAAATCCCTGCACTGCTAAGCTCCAAGGGAGAGCATTGGATTTGTGATTCAGAAGTTGCTGGATTGATCCTAGGATTAAGCAGAAATCCCTCTGTGACGATCTCAGACATTGATTATAATGGTCATTTGTCTCTCTTGGCTCATTCATAAAATCATGTGGGATAAGTTGTCAGTTACTTGTGGAGAAATTGGTCATAATTGGTTTTGTTAGTTATCCAGGAGAGTCTGTTAGGCTTGCTTATTTCCAATTTATGACTAAAAAGAGTGTTAAAATTAGCATCAGGACCTAACAAACCAAGCAAACAAACCTCCACTATAGAGACAGGTTAGGCTGTTTGACTGTACACACTATTGCCTTACTGTTAGCAGCACAAGTTCAAAAATTTTGATGTTAAGTTATTTATCATACAGGCTGTTTGTTCATGATTCTAAGTTGAAGACATACTTTGTGGACGATAAGCCATGTTATTTGTATAGATATGTGAAACTTTTAGCCGCCTCAGTGGTCGAGGGGTTAAGAGTCGATGACTTCTAATCCAGTTACCTCTCTGGCGTGGGTTCGATCCCCGGGAGATGCTTTGGTAGTTTAGCGCGGAGGAAGGTAGTCTAGTACTGGTGTAACTCTCCAGGAACGATGGTTAGGAAACTACCCGCCTATATGACTGAAATACTGTTGGAAAAAGGCGTAAAATGAAACAAACAAACAAACAAACAAATGTGAAACTTTTACCAATTTTGAGGATATTGATAAATAAAGAAATAAAATGCTTTTTTTTTTTAAAGAATTTTTAGATTTTTTTTATATTTTTTAGCTCATCTGTCACAAAGTGACAGGGTGAGCTTTTGTGATCGCTTTTCGTCCGGCGTCCGTCCGGCGTCCGTCCGTCCGTAAACTTTTGCTTTAAATGACATCTCCTCATAAACCACTGAGCCAATTTCATCCAAACTTCACAGGAATGTTCCTTTGGTGGTCACCTTTAAAAATTGTTCAAAGAATTTAATTCCATGCAGAACTCTGGTTGCCATGGCAACCAAAAGAAATTTTTTTAAATATCTTCTTTTAAAAAACCATAAGAGCTAGAGCTTCGATATTTGGCATGAAACATCTTCTAGTGAGTGTCTACCAAGTTTGTTCAAATAAAAGCCCTGGGGTCAAAATTGGCCCCGCCCCTGGGGGTCATTGATTTTCCCTATATGCATATAGTAAAAACTTAAAAAATCTTCTTTTAAAGAACCGTAAGAGCTAGAGCTTAGATATTTGGCATGAAACATCTTCTAGTGAATGTCTACCAAGTTTGTTCAAATAAAAGCCCTGGGGTCAAAATTGGCCCCGACCCAGGGGGTCATTGATTTTCCCTATATGCATATAGTAAAAACTTAAAAAATCTTCTTTTAAAGAACCCAAACAGCTAGAGCTAAGATATTAAGCATGAAACATCTTTTAGTGAGTGTCTACCAAGTTTGTTCAAATTAAAGCCCTGGGGTCAAAATTGGCCCCGCCCGGGGGGTCATTGATTTTCCCTATATGCATATAGTAAAAACTTAAAAAATTTTCTTTTAAAGAACCATAAGAGCTAGAGCTCAGATATTTGGCATGAAACATCTTCTAGTGAATGTCTACCAAGTTTGTTCAAATAAAAGCCCTGGGGTCAAAATTGACCCCGCCCCAGGGGGTCATAGATTTTCCCTATATGCATATAGTAAAAACTTAAAAAAATTTCTTTTAAAGAACCCATAGAGCTAGAGCTAAGATATTAAGCATGAAACATCTTCTAGTGAGTGTCTACCAAGTTTGTTCAAATTAAAGCTCTGGGGTCAAAATTGGCCCCGCCCCAGGGGGTCATTGATTTTCCCTATATGCATATGGTAAAAACTTAAAAAATCTTCTTTTAAAGAACCATAAGAGCTAGAGCTTAGATATTTGGCATGAAACATCTTCTAGTGAATTTCTACCAAGTTTGTTCAAATAAAAGCCCTGGGGTCAAAATTGACCCTGCCCCAGGGGGTCATAGATTTTCCCTATATGCATATAGTAAAAACTTAAAAAATCTTCTTTTAAAGAACACAAAGAGCTAGAGCTAAGATATTTAGCATGAAACATCTTCTAATGAGTGTCTACCAAGTTTGTTCAAATAAAAGCTCTGGGGTCAAAATTGGCCCCGCCCCAGGGGGTCATTGATTTTCCCTATATGCATATAGTAAAAACTTAAAAAATCTTCTTTGAAAGAACTCAAACAGCTAGAGCTAAGATATTTAGCATGTAACATGTTCTAATGGGTGTCTACCAAGTATGTTTAAATAAAAGCCCTGGGGTCAAAACTGGCCCCGCCCGGGGGGGGGGGGTCATTGATTTTCCTTATATGTGTATAGCAAAAACTTAAAAATCTTCTTTGGAAAAACCCAAATAGCTAGAGTTTAGATATTAACCCTTTCCCCCATGAGCATTTTGTGGAAAATGGCCGTTTTCACTGAAAAGCCTCCTGTTACAAGTTCAAACTGCTATGAAACTATGAAAAATGCTTCAATACTAATCAAACTTGGCACAAATGTTGACTGGACCATTGCCTTTGTAACGACATGCTCAGTCTTAAATTTCCTGTTACCATGGCAACGAGGGGGCATCTCAAAATTGCCCAAAATCACTATTTTGCCTCGATTTTTTCCATCAAAATTTATTTCAAAGTGCTGCAACTTCTCATGGGATTGAGATAGAGTCAAAGGCTTTTCAGCGTTGGTTACACGTTACATTATGATCGACCTGGGGTCATTTTTAGCCTCTCACAAGTCCAAAATTTTCTTGGCGATGAGGGGGACTCCGCCCCCCTTCAAACACCCCTAACAGAAGGGGGCACATCCCCCTTCTGGCAACCCCCTAATGTATCTTTTGGATGGGGGGCCGCGCCGAAAAAGTGCTCAATTTTTTCAGCAACATTTCTCAAACGAAAACATGTGTTTGGGGCCCAAATAGGACATTTTTTCACTCTTTGAGGCCTAAAAAAGGGGGGGGGGGTGTCGAAAGTGCGTTGTTTCGCGTATATATGGGGTAAAGGGTTAACAAAAAATAATGAAAAACTTTGAAATCACCTAAAAACTAGTTTTTCCATGTTAACATGTGGTCTTTCACCTAATTTTGGTGAAAAATTGTTGTTTTGTAACATTTATAATTTTTTTTGGTTAACCCTTTCCCCCATGAGCATATTGTGGAAAATGGCCGTTTTCACTGAAAAGCCTCCTGTTACAAGTTCAAAATGCTATGAAACTATGAAAAATGCTTCAATACTAATCAAACTTGGCACAAATGTTGACTGGACCATTGCCTTTGTAACGACATGCTCAGTCTTAAATTTCCTGTTACCATGGCAACGAGGGGGCATCTCAAAATTGCCCAAAATCACTATTTTGCCTCGATTTTTTCCATCAAATTTATTTCAAAGTGCTGCAACTTCTCAAGGGATTGAGATAGAGTCAAAGGCTTTTCAGCGTTGGTTACACGTTACATTATGATCGACCTGGGGTCATTTTTAGCCTCTCACAAGTCCAAAATTTTCTTGGCGATGAGGGGGACTCCGCCCCCCTTCAAACACCCCTAACAGAAGGGGGCACATCCCCCTTCTGGCAACCCCCTGATGTATCTTTTGGATGGGGGGCCGCGCCGAAAAAGTGCTCAATTTTTTCAGCAACATTTCTCAAACGAAAACGTGTTTGGGGCCCAAATAGGACATTTTTTCACTCTTTGAGGCCTAAAAAAGGGGGGGGTGTCGAAAGTGCGTTGTTTCGCATATATATGGGGTAAAGGGTTAAGCATGAAACATCTTTAAGTAAATATCTACAAAGTTTGTTAAAATAAACGCCCGAGGGTCAAAACTGGCCCTGCCCCAGGGGTGACATTGTTTTTAACTATATTGTGTATAGTAAAAACTTTAAAAATCTTCTTTTAAAAATGCCAATGAGCTAGAACTTAGATGTTTAGCATGAAACATCTTCTTATGGGTGTCTACCAAGTCTGTTCAAATAAACAAATAAAATCCCTTGGGTAAAAATTGGCCCGGGGGTGGGGGCCTATATACAGGTGAGCGACCTCAGGGCCATCATGGCCCTCTTGTTACAGGTTTTATGATATTTTTTTCAAATTTTGTGATAGTAATTTGCAGATACTGTGACAGTTATTTGGCAGTATTTGGCAGATACTTTGATTGTAATATGGCAATATTTAGCAGATACTTATAGATGATAAAGTATGATATTTTTATATTTATAATTCAGTTACTAGCCAATTATGATGATGATAACTCAACAGATAATGATGATGACAATGGTACAAATACTCAAGATAAAAAGGAAAGCTCGAAGAAAAAAACAAGGTGATATACAATTTATAACATATCAATTTGTGCAATAACATTATTCAAAGTGGCTGTATATAAGTTTTTATGTGTAATAATACAAGCTTTTTAGCTACTATCCACCACATTGTAGTTTGTTTAATCGATTGCTGCACAATTTATCGTAGGAAAAAATTATGTCTCACTGTCTGTAAAAAGAGACACAAAAGAACATATCACAGTGATCGGGTTTAAAACTGTCATTTATATAGTAAGTTCTTGTTTTTAAGTGAAGCATTTTTTAACTTGCCCATATGATATTTACATAGTTAATTCTTGAAAATCTATACTTGTCTGTACAGGCTGTGGGACAACCTGGGCAATACGGACAATTGATTTTGCAGGCCCTGTAGTAAGTACTACCTGCATCAAGCTGTCCTACACTCTACATGTGTTATAATACAAACTTTATTTCAGGGCAATATTGTATTACTTTGACAGTGCTACAGCTGGGATAACTCCTGTAGAACTTAATCCTAAAGTTAAAATCAGAGCAGTAAGTGTTACCTCCCTTTGTTTATATTGAACTAAACTGAATATTTGTTAATGACAGGAACCATTGAGAAGACTCATTTGGATTAAACATGAAACCTATCGCTTTATGGGATTTAGAGTCTTAAAAGTTTTTTAATGAGGAAAAAAAACAAAAAAACACAACTTTTTGTATCATAAGACTCTTTCCGTTTAATTGTTGATCAAGATAGAAAATTAGAAAATTTATAATTCATCTAAAGCCAACCCCTTGTTTATAATTTTTGTTTAGTTTCAAGGTCTGTTTTTTTTAAGGTGAAAACATCCGCAGAAGTTTGAGGACAGTTTGACGTATTTTACTGATTTATGCATTTCTGAATATTGAGATAATCTTTACGTAAGTACATAATACATCTTTCAAACACTGTACTATACTGTTATTGAACTAATATTTTCAGACTGCTGTAGGGGCCGACCATGTGATCGTCGTGACAACCGAAAGTCAAGTGTTCTCATGGGGTGAAGGGTCAAAAGGTCAACTAGGTCATGGTGACACTGTATCACTAACTAAACCAAAGGCAGTTGAGGCACTGACAGGGAAATTAATTACAAGGTAGGGATGTAGATATATATTTTTTAACTATCACATTTTGGCTCAATGCTCAGGGCCTGGATCCTGTCAAGGACATTGGATTGTTTCAGTAGAGGAAACTATTCACCTAGATTAGGGAAGCTTGGTGGTTCTTCTCAGGTGCATGCTTGAGTTTGAAATAATGCATAATTCGACACATGAGGTCTTCCTCAAACAGTAAAGCTTTGAAAAAACACTATGTTATGTTGATGTGATTTACCGTAAAACCAAACTCAACAAACATGTCCAAGTTGTTAAGGTTGTTGACTTCAAAGCACAAGCTCCTCATTGCTTGTGGTTTGAATGACGGTTAGGACTTTGGATTTTTTTCATGTGAAGAAGTTATTCAGCTAGCTTATAGAATCTTGGTAGTTCTACAATTCTACACAAGTGCATGCTTGTGTCTGAAATAATGTTGGAGTGGGCACCTGAGGTCTTTTTCAGAAGAAGTTAAGCTTGAAAAAACACTGTACAAGCCTAACAGTTGGTGTAACTTACTTAAAACCCAATTAACAAACAATTGTTTGGTACTATCCTGATGATGGTCATTATATGACCAAAACCGGTAGATAAATATAATAACGTAAACCCACTCTGGTGTTCCTGACGTGTTGTTCTTCATTCCTTCCTTGATTACTTAATTTTTTGGAATGTTGAAAATAAAATATTATAAATATTTCAGAGCATGCTGTGGAGATGGGTTCAGTATATTTTCTAGTGACCGAGGGATTGTATTAACATGCGGTGATGGCAGTAAAGGTTGTCTCGGTCATTCAGATTGGAGCGATGTTTATAGACCAAGACTTATTGAAACACTCTTAAGGTAAACAACTCTTTTCATGTACAGACTTCATCAAACTAAGTCTGCAATTTTCATGTAGTTTTGCTGTTTTTAATGCTTCCCAGGGATCACTTTTTTTCCAGATTTTTTGTAGTTGAATTGCTGAATTTCTTATGTAGAGGATATTAAAATGAGTGTAGATATAATACTGAATTTATTGAACAAGTTGTATAAAATAATATTATGTGAGGCTCTGTCAAGCATAATATTATTTGATTCAAAGGTCTTAAAAATTTAAGTATTGAATCTACACAAATAAAAATATTATTTTCACTGTTAACAGTTCTTATGTTGGTTAATATGTGATAAATAAGAACTGTTATCAGTGAAAATAATCTGTTCATTGACTTGCCTATAGTTTAATGGTTACATTTAGCACGTCCTTTTGCTATGTTCGTCTGACACAAATGATGTCACATTAAAATATATGCACAGTTGTGCAATACCATCTTTATGGAATGGCAAAATTTGCACGGTTATTTGATAAATAAACTTGTTTTAAGAACTGCTCAATATCAATATCAATTCTGGGGACATGAATATCTTCCTACCCCAGTAATGATTGAAAGTCATCATGTATACTTGACATTGTAAGTGCAATTTAAAACCCAGTAAAGGGCATCTGTGGCAGAGTGAATAAGGTCGTTGACTTCAAAACACTTGCCCTTCACCACAGTGGGTTCAAATTCTTACAGAGATTTTGGATTCTTTCACATGAAAAAAACTATCCAGCTAGCTAGTAGAATGTCAGTGGTTTTACTCAGGTGCCTGTTTGTGTCTGAAATAATGCAGGAAGGTGCAATCGAGGTCTTGGTAAAGATGATAAGTCGCCATATGACCTCAACTTTGTCGGTGCTACGTAAAACCCAACAACAACAAAAAAAAACCCGTAAAATAAGAGACAACCCAGCAAAAAAATGAATCAAAGATTTGATTAATATGTTAATCCTTTTATTGTATTTGAGCTGGCCATGACTAAACCAACATAATGGGTTTGCGACCAGCATGGATCCAGACCAGCCTGTGCATCCACGCAGTCTGATCAGGATCCATGCTGTTTGCTATCAGTTTCTCTATTTGTTATAGGGTTTGTAAGCGAAAAGCATGAATCCTGACCAGACTGCGCGGATGCGCAGACTGGTCTGGATCCATGCTGCTCGCCAACCCATTTTGTTGGTTTTGTCATGGTGCGGCTCATTTATATTTCACAGTGTGGATGTGATATCAGTGGCCTGCGGCCCAGCTCATGTTGTAGTAGTGGGCAGTGAAGGCGAGATATTTGCCTGGGGACAAGGTGCTGGAGGAAGACTTGGTCTGGGAAATGAAGAAAACCAGTAAAATCTTTATTTATTTTCTTAATGTGTTATTCTTCACTGAACTTAATTAATGAGACTAAGTATAAAGATCTCTTCAATTTAATGTATCTATTAAGAATAAGAATGTTTTCACACTTCAGCTATGTACATGATACATGTAGTCTAACAGCATTTCCTGATATCATTGTGGCATTAAAGTGTTCTTTTCATTATTAAAGATATACTGTGCTATGTTCATCTTTAGGTAAAATACTTTTATTGGAGAAACTAATAATTGAAATCTAGTTAATTCTAACTTAACTGAATATGTCTTATTTGAATAAGTGAAAATATCTCAACCAACCAGTACATTTTTATAAAGAAACAGTATGAGAATCTTGTGTTTTTGTTTTAGATGTCATCCCATGAAGGTGACGATATCGGATCAGGAGTTGATACGTGAGGTATTTTGTGGGTACGATGGTACAATGTTCCTCACAGATGAGAGGATGCGAGTGTTTGCCTGCGGCTGTAACACGGAGAATAAGTTAGGCTTAAATCAGAGGCAGGGAATCCTCGGAGCTATGAAAAATATCTTTATTAGGGTAGGTTTCAATAATGATGTAACACGAAGAATAAGCTAGGCTTAAATCAGAGGCAGGGAATCCTTGGAGCTATGAAAAATATCTTTATTAGGGTTGGTTTCAATAATGATGTAACACGAAGAATAAGCTAGGCTTAAATCACAGGCAGGGAATCCTCGGAGCTATGAAAAATATCTTTATTAGGGTAGGTTTCAATGATGTAACACCGAGAATAAGCTAGGCTTAAATCAGAGGCAGGGAATCCTCGGAGCTATGAAAAATATCTTTATTAGGGTAGGTTTCAATAATGATGTAGCACGGAGAATAAGCTAGGTTTAAATTAGAGGCAGGGTATCTTGGGAGCCATGAAAAATATCTTTATTAGGGTAGGTTTCAATGATGTAACACGGAGAATAAGCTAGGCTTAAATCAGAGGCAGGGAATTCTCGGAGCTATGAAAAATATCTTTATTAGGGTAGGTTTCAATAATGATGTAGCACGGAGAATAAGCTAGGTTTAAATTAGAAGCAGGGTATCTTGGGAGCCATGAAAAATATCTTTATTAGGGTAGGTTTCAATGATGTAAGATGGAGAATAAGCTAGGCCTAAATCAGAGGCAGGGAATCCTCGGAGCTATGAAAAATATCTTTATTAGGGTAGGTTTCAATGATGTAAGATGGAGAATAAGCTAGGCTTAAATCAGAGGCAGGGAATCCTCAGAGCTATGAAAAATATCTTTATTAGGGTAGGTTTCAATGATGTAAGATGGAGAATAAGCTAGGCTTAAATCAGAGGCAGGGAATCCTAGGAGCTATGAAAAATATCTTTATTAGGGTAGGTTTCAATGATGTAAGATGGAGAATAAGCTAGGCTTAAATCAGAGGCAGGGAATCCTCGGAGCTATGAAAAATATCTTTATTAGGGAAGGTTTCAATGATGTAACACAGAGAATAAGGTAGGCTTAAATCAGAGGCAGGGAATCTTGGGAGCTATGAAAGATATCTTTATTAGGGTAGGTTTCAATGATGTTACATGTAGAATAAGCTAGGCTTAAATCAGAGGCAGGGAATCTTGGGAGCTATGAAAAATATCTTTATTAGGGTAGGTTTCAATGATGTAACACGAAGAATAAGCTAGGCTTAAATCAGAGGCAGGGAATCTCGGAGCTATGAAAAATATCTTTATTAGGGTAGGTTTCAATGATGTAACACAGAGAATAAGGTAGGCTTAAATCAGAGGCAGGGAATCTTGGGAGCTATGAAAAATATCTTTATTAGGGTAGGTTTCAATGATGTTACATGTAGAATAAGCTAGGCTTAAATCAGAGGCAGGGAATCTTGGGAGCTATGAAAAATATCTTTATTAGGGTAGGTTTCAATGATGTAACACGGAGAATAAGCTAGGCTTAAATCAGAGGCAGGGAATCTTGGGAGCCATGAAAAATATCTTTATTAGGGTAGGTTTCAATGATGTAAGATGGAGAATAAGCTAGGCTTAAATCAGAGGCAGGGAATCTTGGGAGCTATGAAAAATATCTTTATTAGGGTAGGTTTCAATGATGTAAGATGGAGAATAAGCTAGGCTTAAATCAGAGGCAGGGAATCTTGGGAGCTATGAAAAATATCTTTATTACGGTAGGTTTCAATGATGTAACACGGAGAATAAGCTAGGCTTAAATCAGAGGAAAGGAATCCTCGGAGCTATGAAAAATATCTTTATTATCCCCCGCCGAAAAATTTCGGCAAAGGATATAGAAATAGTCTCCGTCCGTCCGACCTTCCGTCCGTACGTCCTTCCGTCCGACATTTTTGTCCGGAGCATATCTCTAAAAGTATTTGAGTTATCAACTTGAAACTTCATAGGTGGATAGACCTCATTGAGGAGGAGTGCAGTGCACAAGAATGATAACTCTACCTTGCATGATTTTTGAGTTATTGCCCTTTGTTATTTTTCAAAATGGATTTTTGTCCAGAGCATAACTCCAAAAGCCTATGAGATATTAACATGAAACTTCATAGGTGCATAGATCTCACTCAGGAGGTGTGCAGTGCACAAGAATGATAACTCTACCTTTCATAATTTTTGAGTTATCGCCCTTTGTTATTTTTCATACCTAATTTTTCACCTGAGTGGAGCATAACTCAAAAAGTGTTTGAGATATCAACATGAAATGTTATAGGTGGATATATCTTATTGAGGAGGAATGTTGTGTGCAAGAATGATAACTCTTCCCTATACAATTTTTGAGTTATTGCCCTTTGTTTTTTTTCATGCTATTTTGTCCAGAGCTTATCTGAAAAAGTATTTGAGGTATCAACTTGAAACTTCATAGGTGGATGGATCTCATTGAGGAGGAGTGCAGTGCACAAGAATGATAACTCTACCCTGCATAATTTTTGAGTTACTGCCCTTTGTTATTTTTCATTCTATTTTGTTCAGACTTTATCTCAAAAAGTATTTGAGGTATCAACTTGAAACTTCATAGGTGGATGGATCTCATTGAGGAGGAGTGCAGTGCACAAGAATGATAACTATACCTTTCATAATTTTTGAGTTATTGCCCTTTGTTATTTTTCATACCTAATTTTTCACCTGAGTTGAGCATAACTCAAAAAGTGTTTGAGATATCAACATGAAATGTCATAGGTGGATAGATCTTATTGAGGAGGAATGTTGTGCGCAAGAATGATAACTCTTCCCTATACAATTTTTGAGTTATTGCCCTTTGTTCTTTTTCATGCTATTTTGTCCAGAGCTTATCTGAAAAAGTATTTGAGGTATCAACTTGAAACTTCAAAGATGGATGGATCTCATTGAGGAGGAGTGCAGTGCTTAAGAATGATAATTCTACCCTGCATTATTTTTGAGTTATTGCCCTTTGTCATTTTTCAAAATTAATTTTTGTCCAGAGCATAACTCAAAAAGCCTTTGAGATATCAAAATGAAACTTCATAGGTGCATAGATCTCACTCAGGAGGTGTGCACTGCACAAGAATGATAACTCTACCTTTTATAATTGTTGTGTTATTGCCCTTTGTTCTTTTTCATACTTAATTTTTCAATTCAATTTTTTTTTTCTCAAAAAGTATTTGAGGTATCAACTTGAAACTTCATAGGTTGATAGATTTTACTGAGGAGGGATGCAGCACACAAGAATGATAACCTACCCTGCATTATTTTTCAGTAATTGTCCTTTGTTATTTTCAGCCATCAGTATTCACATAGGTTTCAAATCTGTAATCACTATAGCCATCAGTTTTCATTACCAAAAGACCTCTTAAAATGGAATTATTCCGCTCTACTACATATACATTCTTCCAATGAGCAAACACATTCGGCGGGGGATGGCCATGTTGACATGGCTCTTGTTAGGGTAGGTTTCAATGATGTAACACGGAGAATAAGCTAGGCTTAAATCAGAGACAGAGAATCCTCTGAGCTATGAAAAATATCTTTATTAGGGTAGGTTTCAATGATGTAACACGAAGAATAAGCTAGGCTTAAATCAGAGACAGGGAATCCTGTGAGCTATGAAAAATATCTTTATTAGGGTAGGTTTTAAGGTTATAAACCTTTGCCTGCTGGGAACAAAAAAATGATTTGTCTGCAATATAACCCTGAATCTTTATTTCAAAACAACTATTTATATAGGGCCATATAACCTGTCAAAATTTTAATTACTTATCCTATATTTCATTCATAGTTTATAACGGAATGTTGGAATAATATTATTCTTAGCTAGTACTTAATAAAGGACCTGAAATGATGTCATATAATGCTCACCACTTATCTAACATGTGTAATTAAATTTTGATATTTTTTTTCTTTATTAAAAACTTAGCATAATTGTAATATATATGAATCAATCTATTTTTAGACTGAAGTTGAAGGACAAAAGGTTCCGACCTCAGTTAGATTGAGACAGCGTGTTATAGACATATCAATGGGGCGACACCACACGGCTGTTATTGTGGAGCCTGGCCATGTATATACTTTTGGCCGGAATACGGAGGGGCAGCTTGGGATAGAGGGAACAAAACCAAACAATGCCCCTGTATTGGTGAAATCCATGGAGGATAAATGCATAGTAGTATGTTAAGTATTTATAACAAGCCTTCAATTTAATAATATGGAGTTTATATAATGCAAATCTTTTAATTAAAGGAACTCCACTGAGGTCCAATAGCCTTATATTATGAATTTTCAAATTATTTCTTAAATCAACTGGTACACTTGAATTTGAAACCAAGCAATAGATGACATATCGATTTACACTGTCTTAAATTTATAATCAATATTTATGTCATTTTTTGCACAATAAAATTGATTATTTCTGGTAAACGAAATGAGAAAATGATTTGAAAATTTGTACATGAGTTATTGGTCCAGACATACATCTAGTTATACAAAAATCTTGAAAAAATATTTTCAATCCCTTCATGTCAAAAAACCTCAGTGGAGTCCCTTTAAACTATTCATACTTAGTTTAGGTGTTAGGTCTGGTATTTTGAATAGTTTGCATGTACTGGATCCATTACACTGATACAAGTGCACCATATGTATTACATATGGTTAGAAATATATGGTGTCTCCAAGAAAAGCACACAGTAATGTTTTACATATGTTCTTCATATGTTTTACGTATGAATACACATAAATTAGGTATATTTTTCATATGGTCCTCGTTTAACATAATTATGTCATTTTACATATGAAAAACGTACTATGTTCTTAAATACATATTTTCAAAACATATGAAACACGTGCTTGACATATGGAAAACATATGGTGTGCCAAACATGTTAAACTTTACATTTAATATATGGGATAGTTGATTTGATTTCGTCATTTGAAGCTGACTTATGATATATGTAACGGAACCATCAGGTACAATACAAAGCAGATTTTGATAAATAGACAACAGTTCATGCATGCACAACAGTTAACATCTTGTACATAGACTGCAATCGGCAAAATGAATATTAAAAGTAATAAGTAAACGAGCTGTGGAAGCAATTTGTTATGTTATGAAGTATTATGTAAGTATAATAAAGCTTTAAATTTGTTGTATTATAGAGAGTGCAGTGTGGCGAGCACTATACCGTGGCCAGCACTGACCAGAATGAGATTTATTACTGGGGTTTACGCTTCAAGGACCCAACCAGTCTGTCAACGACAGATGAACATGATAGCCGGACCAGTCTCACCGGAAGTCATAAAGATGACATGCGCGTGGAATCGGTGACGCCGAGAAATGCCACTCATTCCCGTCAGGCCAGTAACACAAGTGGAATAAGTTTATCAAGTTTGAAGGATGCTAATCTTTATGGTATGATATTTATCTACGATATTGTAAAATTCAAAATGGAAAACCTTAAAAACAGTGGCCACTGTATATTTCCAGAAATATTTCCAGTCCCATCATGTCAAAAAACCTCAGTGGAGTCCCTCTGAGAAACACCTGTAGATGTGTTTATACAGTGTTGGTCATGGAACCTTAAATATTTCTCTTTCATGACATTCATTATAAAGAAGGGACCTGGCCACAAGTAATATATATATATATATATATTTTTTTTTTTTTGATGAACAATTTTGGTTACATGGTAAATTACAACTAAACAATAATTACTTAAAAGTACAAGTTAATCACATTACATTGCTTGCTTTTCTTTAACGTAAAATTACATATACCATTTTTCTATACAATACCCCAATTTTTTTAAATATAAATTTCAATTGGACAATTGAGGCGTTAATGTTAATTTGTTTGTTTGATTGGGTTTTACGTCACATAGACACAGTATAGGTCATATGGCGATGTTCCAGCTTTACGTGTGGAGGAATACCTCAGGTGCGCTTCCTTGCATTATTTCAGACACCGGACTCTGGCTGAATAGAACCAGCAATGTTCCGTAAGCTAGCGTTGTTTATGTTATAAATATACATGGATGATGTAAATGTATAAATTTAACTGTTTTCTATCATTATATAAAACAACATCCATGTTGCGACATACAGTCTAACTTGCCCATGCGACCATGTGTATTAAGCGACTTTTGTCTTAAACGACCACTTTAAATTCCCCCCGATCATTTTCTCTCTATACCTTTAATGTATTAAGCGACTTTTGCTCAACGCGACCAGCGACCGCTAATTAGTAACCTGATTGAGGTCAATCTTTTCATTAAACGACCACTTTTACCTGTCAAGTAATTGTGTTTTTAGAGAACGCCACCTCGTAATGTCACAAGTGTCAACAAATAAACGTGTGAAAAACTCTATTTCCCAAACCGTTTTAGCGTATGCAAATGAAGTTAAGTATACGCATGACGTGTATTATCCAATAATATCAGATAAACAATGCAACGCTCCGCCCCTACTGAGATGGTGTATACGCTTCGCTTGTTGACATTTAGACTGCATTGAATTGAACTTGAACTTGATCAGCAATTAAATTAATCGTAACAATTAGATGTAGTTTGTTTATTTCAAATTCTTCACTATATAGGGTTTTCGTGTTGGAGACAAGGAAAAACAACGGAGAAGTTATAAAATTCTGGAAAAAATGACAAACATGTACGTAATGGATCAAAACTGTTTTGTCAATAAATATCAGAAAGTTATTTTTTACATTTGCATCCAATTAGATTATCGGAGTGTACTAATTATTCAACATTTATATAAAAATAAGTTGAAAAACATTCCCACCGCATAAGAAAGATGTCATTAATAAATTTTGACTTTTATATCATGCTGACTGTCTTAAGAGACTGTTTCATTAAGCGACCGTTTTGGGTGTTTCCCTTGCGCGGTCGCTTAATACACGTTTGACTGTAATTACAGATGTGACAAACACAGATAAAGAATCGGAGGGTAAGAAAAGCCCTCAAAGACAGGCGAGTCTCGACAGTGGGTACACTGGTGACCTTAGTGGAGGCTCGGAAATGGCCATGAGGACAGGATTTCGTCCATTGAGTATGTATCATAAATTTTTTACTGTGAAACCTGTACAAGGAAGACCCTTTTAGAGAAAAGTAATTTCATTATTGCTGAAATTTGCTGTTTTAGAGAGGTTTAACTTATTTTTAAGTCAGTGTTCCCATGTATAGTTTTCATTGGGCTGTTTTTACATATGTTCTTAAACAAATGTACATAAATTTGGGAAAGAATCAAGAAATAATAAATCCCAAACTGTGATTTTATTGCTCAATTAAATCACTGTTTTGAGTTTTGATGGAAGGAATGATATCACAGGGGCGTAGCCTCAGTCATATGACTCATATGACACCAGTACTGATGAGTTACAGTTGACTGGTGTAAGGTGGTGGGCAATGGGGCGGTGGCCTAGTTGTTAAGTTGTGTGCCTTTCAAGCCATGGATCATGGGACCTAGGCCTACTCGGGTCACGACCATGTTTCTTCATATGACATCAGTACTAGTTGGTTCCAGGAAGCAGACTCAAAAGTGATTAATATAAATTAGAAAACTTATTTCACAATCATGCTTAAATAAATATGTTTTAACAGGTGTATAACTTTATGTAAGAACTTCTAAAGGTACATTTATTGAAAGATCAGCTGAAGTGTTATCAAACCTTTCTGTTATAACCGGTGGTGTACCGCAAAAGGCTTAAATAAATATGTTAAAATTGATAACCTTTTGTAAGAATTTTCCAAAGGTACACAGAAAAGAGAAGCTTAGGTGTTATCAAATCTTTCTGTTATAACAGGTAGTGTACCCAGAAGGTCAACAAGTGCTAGCAGTCGGGAGAATGCGAAAGAGAAAGAAAAAGAGATAGACAGTGTACCACGAGATGACTCAGAAATTATATACCCGCCAGACCATCTGATGAGGTAAAAATAAAATGTTTACACTTTCAGGGCTATTTAGTGGTAGTTAAAATAAAAAACAATGTTATTGGTGTAGAGCCAAGCCAGTTAGGGCTAGTTTCGCTTTCTAATAGTATTTTCATCAATGTATCTCCAATACGACGAAGAAATCTTATTTATTGTCTTGTTCAGATGAAGAGTTAAATAAATTATTTCACCATTTTACTTTTACTTTTCATACCTTTAAAGACAATTGTCTTTGTTAAACTTTGTTAAACAACTGTTAAAATATTTCATACATGTCATTATAGAGTAAATCCCTGCCTGTAGATTAGGCTTAATACTAGAAGATAAGCGTAACCATTGTTTTTGTTTTCGAAACTGTTCAAAGGCAATTGTCCTTTGAATAATATGGGTAAACAACTTAAACTCACTGAACAGTAGATAGGCTTTTCCCTCCATGTTGTGTACTTGATTGACCAATGAAAGCATGTAATATAAACTATGATCGAAGTAATTGACATGTTTTCCCTACAATGTTCATGGTATATTCCCTGAACATTATTCTTCTAAATTTTGTTGTGCTTGTTAAACATATAAAGCAGCATGCCTCCAGATTCATGCTAATTTTCAGATATTTTTAGCTCACCTGTCACAAAGTGACAGGGTGAGCTTTTGTGATCGCTTTTCGTCCGGCGTCCGTCCGGCGTCCGTCCGTCGTCCGTCCGTAAACTTTTACTTTAAATGACATCTCATAAACCACTAAGCCAATTTCATCCAAACTTCACAGGAATGTTCCTTTGGTGGTCACCTTTAAAAATTGTTCAAAGAATTTAATTCCATGCAAAACTCTGGTTGCCATGGCAACCGAAAGAAAAAACTTTAAATATCTTCTTTTAAAAAACCATAAGAGCTAGAGCTTAGATATTTGGCATGAAACATCTTCTAGTGAGTGTCTACCAAATTTGTTCAAATAAAAGCCCTGGGGTCAAAATTGGCCCCGCCCCGGGGGTCATTGATTTTCCCTATATGCATATAGTAAAAACTTAAAAAATCTTCTTTTAAAGAACTCAAAGAGCTAGAGCTTAGATATTTTGGCATGAAACATCTTCTAATGAGTGTCTACCAAGTTTGTTCAAATAAAAAGCCCTGGGTCAAAATTGCCCGGCCCGGGGGGTCATTGATTTTCCCTATATGCATATAGTAAAAAACTTAAAAAATCTTCTTTTAAAGAACCCAAAGAGCTAGAGCTAAGATATTTAGCATGAAAACATGTTCTAATGGGTGTCTACCAAGTTTGTTCAAATAAAAGCCCTGGGGTGAAAATTGGCCCCGCCCCGGGGGTCATTGATTTTCCCTATATGCATATAGTAAAAACTTAAAAAATCTTCTTTTAAAGAACTCAAAGAGCTAGAGCTTAGATATTTGGCATGAAACATCTTCTAGTGTGTGTCTACCAAGTTTGTTCAAATAAAAGCCCTGGGGTCAAAATTGGCCCGGCCCCGGGGGGTCATTGATTTTTCCTATATGCATATAGTAAAAACTTAAAAAATCTTCTTTTAAAGAACCCAAAGAGCTAGAGCTAAGATATTTAGCATTAAACATGTTCTAATGGGTGTCTACCAAGTTTGTTCAAATAAAAGCCGTGGGGTGAAAATTGGCCCCGCCCCGGGGGGTCATTGATTTTCCCTATATGCATATAGTAAAAACTTAAAAAATCTTCTTTTAAAGAACTCAAAGAGCTATGGCTAAGATATTGAGCATCAAACATGTTCTAATAGGTGTCTACCAAGTTTGTTCAGATACAAGCCCAGGGGTCAAAATTGGCCCCGCCCCGGGGGTCATTGATTTTCTTTATATGTGTTTAGCAAAAACTTTAAATCTTCTTTGAAAAAACCCAAATAGCTAGAGTTTAGATATTAAGCATGAAACATCTTCTAGTAAGTGTCTACAAAGTTTGTTCAAATAAAAGCCCTGGCGTCAAAACTGGCCCGGCCCCAGGGGTGTCATTGTTTTTAACTATATGTGTATAGTAAAAACTTAAAAAAAATCTTTTAAAAAGCCCAATGAACTAGAGCTTAAATGTTTAGCATGAAACATCTTCTTATGGGTGTCTACCAAGTTTGTGCAAATAAAAGCCCTTACGTTAAATTGGCTCTGCAACGTTGGGGGGGGGGGGGGGGGTTTGGGGGGACCGATATACAGGTGAGCGACCTCAGGGCCATCATGGCCCTCTTGTTTTAAATGTATTTAAAAGTAAAATATTGTGCAGTAAAGTTAACAAAGAAAATAATTTACAGTAACACATTGCAAACAGCTCATTCAATCCACATAAATTACCAAAAAGAGGTCAAAATAAGCAAAATTAGCCCTTACAGTGTTAGTAACGCAGAAGAAATGTAGTGATAAATTCTGCAAAAACAACTTTTAATCACATATAACATTTAAATCATCACTTGTATCTTGTAACATTTTACTTTTTCTTAAATGTAATTTTCTTGAAATATTTCGGAACATCTGGAGGCATGCAGCTTTAAATACCATGGAAATATGAGGCATCAGTATACATCATGCATTGTAATAAGGCTCTCCACTGTTGTTAACTTAGTCATTGTAATTTTGATACTGACTACCCTGGAATTTGAAATCGACTGTTCCAGTATTCAAATCTGAGCAAATCCATTACAAAAAAAAAATCTGCAGGGTCAGGGATAATACTTTGTTGTTTTTATTTTTCTCCCTGTAGGATTATGCCAGGAGAGGAAATGTTGACCTTGAACTCATTTTTCTGTCATGGGGAGAATATATTTATACAGCTGGAAACTACCGCCCCACCCCCAAGGAGAAAATCCAGAAAAAAGCGTGGAATCAGGTCAGTTTTCTCAAATTAAAAAAAAATAAAATAAACAACTTTTATACATTGTGTGTAGATAAGAAAACGTCTTCCTTTTTCTGTTACACTCTTTCATAAAAGCAAAAAATTTATAGAATTCATTTCATTTCTTATAACAAACAATACAATTTTGGTACTATTATAATTTATACGAGGGATGATAAAAAAATTAACTGGACTTTGTAGATGATTCTTTACCTGTGAATGAATTTACATAAAAATACACTGGATATAAATTGGAATCAATCCCCCAAATGATACAAAAAATACCAACAAGAAATATTAACAAATAAAAAAATTATGCTGTTATTGGCATGTACATGTAAAGCAATGTGGCGCACGGTAAAACTTAAATTGACGTTAACGATGTCAGAAGCGTATTGTCTTTAACGGAGCAGCTTTCTATTATTAAAACATTTGAACTGAGATAATGTTTGCTTTCGTACCAACAAACAAAACAAAACAAAAAAATGATTAGAATAAACATAAGATTGTGACTGTCACTAAACGTACATTACTAATTAACTAAATGTTTTGGTCAAGTGATTTTAACATACAATATTTTGTTAAGATCAATGATAAACCTACTTAGTTAACTGTTCCCAATTGTAAACCTTTTGACACAAAATGATTGATATTGTATAAATCTATTTAAGTTTAATTTATGATGTAAAAAAAACATGTTTTGAGCAGTCTTAACTAAAGTTTTTTTGGGGGGGGAGGGGTCCGTGTCCAAGGGGTTAAGGTCATTGACTTCAAACCACATGTTGCTCTTTGTTGTGGGGTCCGAATCCCGCAAAGAACTTTGGATTCTTTCATATGAGAAAGTTATCCGGCTAGCTTACAGAACGTCATTGATGGTTCTATTCAGTTGCCCGTTAAATGTGCCTGAAAAAATGCACAGAAGAGCGCCTGACATCTTCCTCTACCAGTAAAGCTGGAACATCGCCATATGACCTATACTGGTTCGGTGTGACGTAAAACCCAATCAAACAAACTCAAGTTTATGTGTATGGTACCATTAAAGTGTCTCAAATATTCATGTTATTTAAATGTCACCAGATGACCTATACTGGTTGGGTGTGACGTACAACCCAATCGAACTAACAAACTAAAGTTTATATGTAAAGTATCATTGACGTGTATTGGTTCTATTATTTACAGGAAAAGATATAGTGGATCTACGCTGCCTGTACCGAACACAAACACAGGGATGTCTGTGTCCAGTAGAGAAGGTGGTGATGAATATTCATCAGAAACTTCCGAGATGGACACCCAGGGAACTGTATGTATTATACACACTGTCCCAAATTGCAAATAATATTTTTGATGTAAAAATAATACATGTATTATATTAGTTATTATAAATTTTCCATCAGTATGCATTTAATATAATAATAATACCCTGTTTAAATACTTTATGTAAATCATTACTGAAAGTGCCATATGATCTCAACTATGTTGGATGCGATTTAAAACCTAGCAAAACAAAAAAGAAATTGGTTTGTTTGATTTTTTTTTCAACTGGCAGGCAGGTTAAACAAACATTTGTCAAGTACAAATTTAATGTACAAATCTGTATTGATATTATGTTTCTTTTGTTTGAGAAATCATGCTTACCCCCATGAACAAGCTACATGCAGGACTGGCATGAAATTTGTTTTAAAGGTAAGGTAGATGAGCAAAGTTCGACAACTTTTTGGAAGCCTATGTTTGTGATAAACATGTAGTTATTATAAATAAGTTTGTAATTGGTAATAGTGATATATATTAGGTTAATTTCTATTACAGGTCCCAACCTGGATTAAAGAAGAGCTTGCCAATTCCCAGCCAGAGGATACTCCAGGCTTGAACCCAGGACTTGGACTAAACCCGCCCACCATTGGTGATGATACGGATGGTAACCTTGCCGACGACACGAGTGAACAATCGGACGAGGACAGGAACCGAGGGGTGAAAGATACATCAATGTCGAGTATACAAATTAACAGAGACCTCACTCCGTGTAAATTGCCTCCAGACAAAAATCTGACGCCAAGAAATAGCGATCTTGCCCCTCCAGTTAGCAAGGTCAGTTTTGATTATTAACTCCTAACCTTCTGAATTTTCATAATGGATTTGCCTTTCTTGAAAAAAAAAATGGAACAGTTTTTGTTTAAAAGTTTAAATATTTTAAAATCAAAACACAAAATTTTAATATAAAATAGAAACACTGCATGAATATGAAGGCTTGTGGTTATGATAAACTGGTGGCAATGGCCTTTAACTTTCAGTTCCAGCGGGTTAAGGGTTAACTTAGTAACGAAACTTATTTATCTTCTTCTTTGCAATGAGGTTCTGAAATGTATTAGTGAGATATAACCAGAAAAACCAGATCAATGATGAAGGGCTGTCAATGAACGTATCCCCCCAATGCAACCCAGAGTCATAAGTAGCATACATTGTTTGAAACTGAGTGAAATAATATTAAAAGTGTTGGTTCATCTATAAGAATGCATAACAGAAAAAAATAAAATATGATATCTTAGTTACATCATTTTGTTGATTTTGTATTTTACTTTTTCTTGCAGAATTCTTTAAATAAAGTAAATTGGTAGCAGAATTACTTCAGATTTGTGATATGATTATTTATTTGTGCACATTAAAAGTATAATTTTCTTAACATTCTTCTGCAGGGAGAAATAACTGAAGTATGGTCGAAAATTGTACTTATCCAAAAAAAAAATGATTTGCCAAAATGTACAGCATTGCAATTGTAAAAGATTTGTACATGGTATATTTTGTATATATTTTTTTTCACATACACATATATTTATATATTTTTCTTACAGAATTCTCCTAGAGAAGTAAGGATAAGGTCATTTTCTAACAACAGCACTGAGAGCGAGGTGTCTAACCAATCGGATGGTAGTACCAAAGATCTAACTATAGCAAGGTATTACATGTAATTAAGTTTTAAAGCTGCATTAAATAAGTTTTAAAGCTGCATTTAATAAGTTTTAAAGCTGCATTAGATAAGTTTTAAAGTTGCATGAAATATGGTTTAAAGCTGCATTAAATAAGTTTTAAAGCTGCATTAAATAAGTTTTATAGCTGCATTAAATAAGTTTTAAAACTGCATTAGATAAGTTTTAAAGTTGCATGAAATATGGTTTAAAGCTGCATTAAATAAGTATAAAAGCTGCATTAGATAAGTTTTAAAGTTGCATGAAATATGGTTTAAAGCTGCATTAAAATAAGTTTTAAAGCTGCATGCAGGCATCAAAAATAACTTCAAGGAGGAGGAGTAGCTTCTAAATCCAGTATGTGGGGAACTTTTTTCAACTCGTCCTGCATGGAGTTCTCTTAAATTTTACTTGTAATTATGAGCAGACATGAGGAATTTTTCAATCTCTGACATGCATCCAGATTCATGAAAATTAAAAAAATGTATTTTAAATAATATATTGTGAAGCTAACAAAAAGAGTAATTTACATGTACGTAATATACACAGAAGGCAATTTCAGTCCACATTAATAACTGAAAAGAGGTCAAAATATACTGTATAAGTAACACAGTAGTAACATGGTGAGAAATTCTGCTTAATTAGTCATTGATAGCAAATAACATGTTAATCATTACTTGAACCTTGAATCTTATTACTTTTCCTTCCTAGTACCTTTTGCTCAGATTCGATTTTCTTGAAATTTTATCACTCATCTGGAGGCGTGCAGCTTTAAACCGTGATTGTTCTTTTATTTATATTACAGTCGTTCAAAGACAGTGATGTCTATCAGTACTAAACAGAACAAACGTCACATCTCTAGTCAAATGTCACGCGCCAAAAGTGCTTCAACAAGCTCCCAATGGGCACATAACAGGTTCCGGCAAAACAGAAGTTATACTGGGTAAGTAAGATAATTGCAGTCAAATACCTCTTTGTTATGTGGAATAAATAATTGTACCAGGGTAAGTTCTGTTTTGAAGAGTTACTTCTGTTGGGTCACACAGTAGATTCCACTTAAAACTAGTTTTGAAATAATTATTATGCTACATTTGAAAATTTTTGAGTGCTGCTTTGAAATTTTGAACTTTCCGTCTCTTTATTTTATTAAGCAGTTTCAGGGTTTTTTGTTGTTTTTTGTTTTGTTTTTCATTTCATTTAATGAACTAAATCAAACAGATGCCAATGCTGGGTCCCTCTTTATCTACAGCATATACAAGTGTTTGTTTGCTTATTTTTTTTATTTTTTAAGGTCATTGATTTTAACAGTGTTTTTGATCGAGTACTTCTAACGCCAGTGCAAACAGATCCTATAAACAGATTAACTGAGACCCGAATCTTCAATTTTTAGCTTGACTATACAAAGTATATGGAGAGCTGTCCGACTCGCCCCGGCGTCGGCGTCAGCGTCCAGATTTCAGATTAAAGTTTTGGTGCAGTTAAATATTTTTCACTATAACTTTGTCATTTCTTAAGGTATCAACTTCAAACTTCAAATATATTTTTTACTGTTACTTCTTTATTTGTTAAGGGATCAACCTCATACTTCAAATATATGTACCTTATCATCATCCCCATCTTATGTGACAAGGTTCATAACTCTAGCACCAATATTTTCAGATTTATCTCCCCTTGAACTTAGAAATTTCCTCAAACAATACTATTTTTTACTGTTACTTCTTTATATGTTAAGGGATCAACCTCATACTTCAAATATATGTACCTTATCATCATCCCCAACTTATGTGACAAGGTTCATAACTCTAGCACCAATATTTTCAGATTTATCTCCCCTTGAACTTAGAATTTTCCTCAAAAAATACTATTTTTTACTATAACTTTTTTAGATTTAAAGGTATCTACCTCAAACTTCAAATACTTATTCCTTATCATCAATTACATTTTATGTGACAATGTGCATAACTCTTAAAGCAATATTTACAGATTTATCTCTCTTTGAACTTAGAATTTTCTTTAAGAAATATTATAACTTCTTTACTTTTTATGGTATCTACTTTAAACTTCAAATATATATTTCTTATCATTACACACATGTTGTGTGACAAGGTTCATAACTCTAGTGTGACTATTTCTAGAATTATTCCCCTTGATCTTGGAATTTATGTTAACAAAAGGTTTTTTTACTATAACTTAATACATAATTATACATAATTGAATTTTCTTTCATAGTTTTGTCCTCCTTACTGCTTCCAGTATTTTAATAGTCGAGCTTCGCTGTCTCCTGTGACAGCTCTTGTTATCCTTTTAATTGCTATAGTTTGGCATAAATTTTACCAGATTTTCTTACCAGAATTTCATACAAAAAGTTATCATCACTATTACAGCCAACAAAAGGTGAAGGGTGTGAGGTAATAAAGATGTATAGTTAATTATTTTTTGTCACATTATCATGTTTCTTAGTTTTGCTTTATTTGTTGTCTGTAAATAATGTAACTTATCCACTAGCTTTTTTTTTGGGGAGGGGGGGGGTTGTTGTTTTTTTAGGGGGGGGGGGGGGGGATATGTCTTTGTTTGTGAGTATGGAAGGTGGGGCATATTCTTTATTAGTTAATGTTGTTGTCTTCAAACCACTTGTCCCTCTTAGCAGTGTGTTTGAATCTCGCTTGGGACTTTCGGTTTTTTATGAAACGAAGCCATACAACTAGCTTATGGAAGTCGGTAGAAAGAAAAACCAACCATTTGTTTGCCGATAGCATGTTACTTTGGTTAAGCTGTTTAATTTCTAACGTGACTTGTTCTTTGCCCAGGTGTTTTACATGTAAAACTGTCAGTTACTAGTATACAAAAGTAGCTCATTGTCTATAAGACACTGAAATTGCACTGTTGTATATAATTTTGTATTTTTGTTACACTGTATATCATCTGCGTATCACATTGTTTTATAATTGTATAATTATAAAAACAATGATAAATTGAAATTATGTTTTAGATACGTAATTACAGTATTTGTTATTTATTATTACTTAAAATGTAACCTAATGTAAGTGTCATTTAATGAATTGAATGTAATTATAGCATTTATTATTGTTCATTAAAATCTAATGAATATGCATCAATTAATGTAATGTTAATTTACATTTCATTTGATATTGATTTAATATAAATGAGTAAAGCATCATTCCTGTGTCACTTATGTATTTACTGATTCATTTTTGTGTCACCATAGTATTTCTTTTAAATTTTGTATATTTAGACTTTTGTATTATATCTTTTCTAATATATTAAACATTATGTATTAACTTATATTCGCACAACAAAATTTGTTGCAGTATTCATTCAAATTAGAAATAAGGTCTTAGACAAGAGAATGAACATTTTAGACAATCGATACTTAGCCATATTTCTGTAATTTTTAAATGATGTAAAAAGAATGGATGATAGATAGAACTCTTAATCTAAGATAATTCAGTGATTATGCCCTTTAATTGTACTTTATATAACACCAGGTCTCCAAAAACATATATTTAAGGGACGTTGATTTTAAATGGTGGCCTGAAAATTTACTTTTCTTTATAATATGCTAACAAATCCATGGTCAATATTAAACCTAGCCACTTTAGAGCTACCAGGAATTAGATGTTGATTTTGTTTAATGAGGAAATGAAATGGATGTGTTGTACTTAGCTGGACTGTTCGAAGGAAAGGGATAACCAGGGATACTCACCCAGCCGTCTTGCCACTCATTGGTTGCAAGTACTATTTTCAAAACAACTAAAGGGAATATGTTGAAACTTCACAATCTTATTTGAAACATAGTAGGTCACTGTTCAGTGGCAATAACTCTATGACTTTAACAGAATTACGGCTCTTTTATCCATGTTGATATTGTACTATCAAACGCTGAGATTATTATAGTTGAGCATGCTGTCCTACCAACAGCTTTTGTTGGCATGGTAAAATTGTATTATGTTTTTCATATTAATTAAAGAATGCTAACAATATGTTGTAGGCAAGATATGGGTTTAAAGGAACAGTTGAGTGCCCGGGGATTTGTGTCTGACGTGACAGTGAAAAGACGAGAAGAGGCATTATTGGTAAGGACTTAATATTATACTTAAACTAAATTTGTTTTAATTGTAAATGAAATCCAAACAGTATACCCTAAAGCAATTGAAGATATTTCTGTGAAAGTTTGTTAGAAATTCCAATAGAAAATGTCAGGAAAGAATTTATTCACATCTACAAATCTGGAAGAAAAATGATCCATCGGAAGCATTAACCACAACTGGGTTTGATCATGTCTGTCCATAAGGGATAATAACAAAATACAAACCCTGTATGAGAACCCCCAGTTGAAGTTTTTTTTTCCTGATGTTCAAATTTATTTAATACGGTTAATGTCTTGGGCATTGAAGCTTTTCTTTCCATCATGGCATCATATTCAAAATTTTTTAGTGCTGAGGAGTAGAAATCGCTAAGATTTGTAATAAATCATTTAGTGGTGTTGCAGTAAATGTTCAAGCTCGTAACCTCTAAGCAATAGACACAATAAAATCGAATCTGCAACTGTTTATTTTATTTACTTTGCTTTTGAGGATTTCTCCTTTCAAACATTTTAGCTGGGAAGTCAAATTTTTTCTATAAAATTATTTTTACAAGTTATTTGTATTTCTTAACAAAATCTACTAAACCTAGCTGTTATGTAATTTTTACAGGGTGAACTTCACATGACCAGGGAGGAGAAGAAAATGGCAGAGAAACGTATAATGGAGTTAGAAAATGAGCATTTACGACGGCAAGAACAATTTAGAAACGAGGCGGAACAAAGGGCATTGGTAAATTATAATTTTATATGTATTTGTGACCATTATTAGTAATTTAGTATTCTTGAAAATAATTCATCGATTGCACCTTCAGAAAGGGACTAGATTAAAGCGTGAGTTCTTGTTTAGTGCTTTATTTTTCTAACTGGTTACCATTACAACTTATATTGTGTAATCATATACATGTGCTATTAAGTCTGAAGTCAAAAATGACATCTACCATGGGTCATGCCATGTTGGAATAGTATTTGCACAGGTATCTGGGGTCTTATACACTAACAGCTGAAAGTTACTACATATCATGACATTGACTGTGCTTTTTTTTGACTGAAAACACATGAACTGTGTCTTTCTTTTAATCAGACTAATGTATTCTAAACCAATTCCAGGGGAAAAAAAATATAAAAGCCTCCACATCTTATCTATTATGATTCGTCTCCTGGTCTATGTTTGTTTGAAATCTAAAACGGTTGATTTAGCTTACGGACTAATGTTCCTCCATCAGTACAGCTGGAAAATTACTATGTGACCTTTAAGATGAATTTTAGAAAGTGTGACATAAAACCCAGCTGAAATGCTAGCATGGTTTTTTATACAATTTTAGGAGAGGGAGAAAGCTCTACAGAGCCAGATAGAGGCATTGAGGCAACAAGTTCAGAATCAAACTTCACAGTTACAGGATAATAACAAAGTCGTCATGTCATTAAAGGTATTGAGAAATTCATTATGTTTAAAAAATAGAGAAAATAAGAATCCCTAAACAAAGTCCATAATGGCAAAATTAAAAATGTTGCAGGCTCGGTTTGATTGAGCCTGTTCATGGAGGGTACTGCAAAGTGCATACTACCACCCATGCCCCCTAGCACCAGCTTAAGCAGAATCAACATTTAAACATGAAAGTGGCAAACATTTATTTAAATCTGTGAGAAATGCTTACTAAATATGACTAATTTGAATAAAAGAATGAATAAACCATGAATGGGAAGCTGCGTTCCCAATTATGGGACAAGTAAAATTAGTCCTTTCTTAGAAAAACTGTCAGTTTTTTAGCTCACCTGAGCTTGCTCAGGGTGAGCTTTTAGGATCGGTGAATGTCAGTCGTCCCTCGTCCGTCCACAATTGCTTGTGAACACTCTAGAGGTCTAATTTTTGACCCAATCATCATCAAACTTGGTCAGGATGTTTGTCTAGGTGATAGCTCGGATGAGTTTGGACATGGGTCATCTCGGATGAAAAAGTAGGTCACAGGAGCTATGAATAGAAAAACCTTGTGAACACTCTAGTGGTCACATTTTTGAACCAATCATCATCAAACTTGGTCAGAATGCTTGTCTAGTCAATTGCTTGGATGAGTTCGAACATGGGTCATCTCTGATAAAAAACTAGGTCACAGGAGCTAAAAATAGAAAAACCTTGTGAACACTCTAGTGGTCACATTTTTGACCCAATCATCATCAAACTTTGTCAGGATGCTTGTTTAGATAATAGCTCAGATGAGTTTAAATATGGGTCATCTCGGATGAAAAACTAGGTCACCGGAGCTATAAATAGAAAAACCTTGTTAACACTCTAGTGGTCACAATTTTGACTCAATTGTCATCAAACTTGGTCAGGAAACTTGTCTAGGTCATTGCTGGGAATAAATCGAACATGAAACAACATCTCGGATGAAAAACTAGGTCACAGGAGCTAAAAATAGAAAAATCTTGTTAACACTCTAGTGGCTACTGCTGTTATCCAAATATTGTGTTAATTGGTCTGAAAGTTTGTTTTGATGATTTTGTAAGTCAAGATCAAACATGGGTCATCTTGGATGAAAAACTATGTCACACCCCCCAAATATGGAAAAACCTTGTTAACATTCTAGTGGTCACATTTTCGACTCAATTATCATCAAACTTGGTCAGGATGCTTGTCTAGGTAATTGCTTGGATGAGTTCGAAATCGCATGTGAAACTAGGTCACCGGAGCTAAAAATAGAAAAATCTTGTTAACACTCTATTTATACCCCCACCACAAAATGGGGGGGGGGTGCTATAATGGATTCGCTTTGTCGCGTCGGTCGGTCGGTCGGTCCGTCTCCATTTTCGTGTCCGCTCTGTAACTCCTACACTAATTGAGAGATTTTCTTCAAACTTGGCTCAAATGTTCACTTCAACAAGGGGATGTGCAGAACCCATGTTGCCCATGTGTCAGCTCAAGGTCAAGGTCACAATTGAAGGTCAAATATCAAACAATGAAATATTAGACAGTATGTCATGTCCGCTCTGTAACTCCTCCACTAATTGAAAGATTTACTTCAAACTTGGCTCAAATGTTCACCTCAACAAGGGGATGTGCAGAACCCATGTTGCCCATGTGTCAGCTCAAGTACCAGGTCACAATTGAAGGTCAAATATCAAACAATGAAATATATGACAGTATGTCGTGTCCGCTCTGTAACTCCTACACTAATTGAAAGATATTTTTCAAACTTGGCTCAAATGTTCACCTCAACAAGGGGATGTGCAGAACCCATGTTGCCCATGTGTCAGCTCAAGGTCAAGGTCACAATTGAAGGTCAAATATCAAACAATGAAATATTAGACAGTATGTTATGTCCGCTCTGTAACTCCTACACTAATTGAAAGATTTTCTTCAAACTTGGCTCAAATGTTTCTCCTCACAAGGGGATGTGCAGAACCCATGTTGCCCATGTGTCTGCTCAAAAGGGCAAGGTCAAAAATTGAAAAATTTAAATACAAACAATGGGAAAAAATTTAAAACATATGTTTAATTTTCCGCTCTGTAAGGGCCAACATTTTTTATTTGAAAAGGGTTTTCCCCTTTTTAAATTTTTTGGCCCCCAAAAAGTTGAACCTAAACAAAGGTTTTAAAGGTTTGGGGAAACCCCCTGTTCCCTTTTTCGGGGGGTTAAAAGGTTTTAAAGGGGGCACTTTTTAAGGGCAAAAATTTACTTAAAAAAATGTTCTTAAATTTTTTAAAAATTTTATTTTAAAAATTTCTGAAAACTAGAAAAAAAGGGGATTTGCCCCCAAACTTAAAATATTATTTAAATTCGCCAATTTTAAAAACCCGGTTTAAATTTCCATTTCCCTTTTTTTGCAATTTTTGACAAAGTTAAAATGCCCCTTTTAAGTCATTAGATTTACATACAATCAATACTAGACAATACGTTATGTCCGCTCTATAAATTCTATACTAATGGAAGGATTTTCTTCAAACTTTACTCAAATGTTCACCCCAATTTGGCAATGTGCAGAACCCATCTTAACCCTTGTGCCAGCTTAAGGTCGAGGCCACTCTTCAAGGTCAAAAATTGACTTAGAAAATGTCTAGTACATTGGGAAAATGAAAGGTTATTTGTAACTGTTCGAACATGATTTGACAATATATATTTATACTAATACCTGTACAATTAGTCTTTTTTTCACCAGAGATAATTTCCTTTTATGTATATGTATTTGTGCCACTAAAGTTATTCTCTAAACCACCTTACCAAGTCGTCTTTCTGTCAAGGACATTGGTGGGGGTATGAATCGCATTCAGGGGGGAAAGTTCTAAATTCTAAAAGGGGGTTTTTTTCCAAAATATCCTGGGAAAAATTTGGGCTGAAAATTTTTTTGAAAGTTTCTGTGGTTTTTAATATGTGCACCTGGGTAAAAAACTAAGTCGACGCTCAAAAGGATAATCCTTGTTAAACCCCTTGTAGTGGTCAAAAATTTTTTTGACTCCAATTCTGAGATTGGAGAATCCCTTTGTCCGGGTAATTTGGGGTTTTGGTAAATTTGATAAGGGCGGTGAGGGGGATCTAGGGCCATCATGGGGCCCTTTGTTTTAAAGGAAAAAAAAAACAAAATTTTGGGGGCCACCAAAAAATTGTGTAAAAAAAATTTAAACAACAAAATAAAAATATCCCAGCTTTTGTTTGGGGAAGTCAAAAATATTTTATTTATATTCAAAGATAACTGTGTAGCAATTATGAATATTTTCTAATATCAAATTTGAGCATATTTTTTTCCAGAATATGATGGAACAATGATAAGAAAAATAATTGTTACAAATAATAACATATAAAATTAAATGGCAAAATCCTTATTTGTCAGATACTAGGCTTTTGTTTTAAAGAAAACTGTTTTTATCACGGTAAGAGGGACTAAATAAGAACGGAAGTAATTGGTCCGACTGAATACATGTATTTGGTAAACATTCGTATTTTGGGGTGCTTCCTAAAATGGAAGTTACTTGAATAACAAGAAATAATTGATGCTTAAAAGGTGCGTTTGAAGCAATTTAATTAGTGACAGTTGAAGTGGTACTCTATGTAAACAGATTCACTTATGTTTTTTAGGATATATTATTCAATATGACTTAGAAACAATGTTTTTTTGGGGTGGGTTGTGCATTAATTGTTCTGCAATTTAGTACAAGAGTGCAGTTCATCATACATGTAAATTACAGTTTCAGTTAAAATCTTTTATCAAATTAGACCGGTCACACATATTTATTGTTATGTTTTTATATTTTAGGATGAATTATCAAAAGTTCAAAAGAAGAAAAGCAGGTTAGGGTCACGGAGTTTCGGAGGGACGTCAGATAGTAAAGTCTGTTCTTTACAATGATTATAGCAGAAAGACATGTAGCTCGTCTGCAAAAACTCTCAAAATTCTGGAAACTAAGTGATCCCACGGAAGCATTAATCACAACAAAATTACATAAGAATTGCAGGCTTGGTTTGATTGAGTCTGTACATGAGAGATAATGAATAAGTGCAACATCCCTCACGTCCCCTATCACCTGCTTGAAGCCTTGAGGAGTATTGAATCTCTTATATTTTACCTGTATTTGAGACTGTTTGTACCATACTGCAGAAAAATGGCAGGAGAGAGCTAGAATCGTAGCTTTTTGCTACCTTCTGCTCAACTTTTATTATCTTCATTTCATTACGGAATAGAGGATAGAAGAACAGTTTAACAATATAAGAAGAAAAATGTTTGAATAAGTGAGGATAACTAGACATGTAATAGTTGGTGCTTAAGAGATGGTGTGATGATGTCCTGTACACTAACGTTGTTCGCAACTCTTTGAAAGCAAGCTGTTGAAAGTTTCATGCCTGCATTGCTTCCATGCAGTCGTACATGACTGCTCCATTTATTGCTCAAGTTTGGCATTTTGATATTGAATTTCTTTGAGTGTATAACAACATGTTCTGAATTCTAAAAAGGGTATGTACATTAAGCAGAGTAAGTGTTTGAATAAAAGCAAAAAATGAGAGGATTTCTCAAGCAGAACATTCATTTAAGGAAAAGTCTTCTGTCCAGTGTACACGGAACACAATTTACGAGTGACTAAATCATCTGTAACTGGAGATCAGTCACTGATTGCTTGAAAAGAGTGTTGAAACAATGATAACCCATGTTTGAAACATGGGTTGTTGAAGTGTATCTGTTGAAGAAAAGTAAGAGTTAAAAAACCTGTTGAAAAATAGTTCAATTAAAATTTAGTTTAAGGGGTAAAATGATTTTTACCTTGCATAATTTATCTTGCATAATATGATATGTTTCTCTGTATACTTTATTTTTATATTTTGATTTATTCATATTATTGTCTTGATATATAAGTGCAATTTTTACTCACATTTTTACCTACCACCTGTTTCTGTGATAATATTTATATATATTGATTTTGATGCATTTACATGATATTTTTTTAACCCCGTTTTTAAATTTGTTTTTGTTAGAAATTCCGCCAGTAACTTTCAAAGAGCAAAAGTTATCATTGATAAATTGTCTTCTTCGCAACAGAAAAAGACTTATGCCAAGTTTTGAACCTACATTGCGTTAAATGCTCAAATTACCGATTTGTATTTCCAGGGCCCAAAGCAGGGGTCTCCGTCAGTCTCACTGCTTTTTCCCATCGAGCAAGAACCTTTGTAAATTTAAGAGTTCAAGAGATTGAACTTGATAGGGGGTTGAAATAGTTTTCAAATTTAGGGGAAATGCGATGCACGACCTTTTGTCATTCCGTGATACTGACTTACCGTTTTAGCTCACCTGAGCACAAAGTCGATATCATCAGTTTTCTTTCCTCCTAAACCACTCTATGGATTTTGACAAAACTTAAGAGGAATTATCCTATTAAAGTAAGGTGGTCCTCTACAAAAGCTTTATATTAAATTGTTCCAGTCTGATGTCTAAAAAGGTCTCATATGTTAAAAAGTGAAATCTTGAAAACATCTTCTCAGAAACAGCAGCAATAAGATTTTTTGCATACATCATGAACTTTTGGTCCTCTACAAAGTTAATTTTATCATGCCACTTGGGTCAAAATTGGCCGCACCTTGGGGTATATTTAGTTTTCATAGACGTTTGTAGAAAAATGTCTTGCAAATCTTCTATGAAAGTACAATGCCCAGAGGTTATATTTTTGGCAGTAGTATTGCCAAGTGGGCCTCTACGTAAGTTAAATAAGTCATTCCCCTTCAGTCAGTAATGTCCCCGCCCTTGGTGTAATTAAGTTTATATAAACTTATTGATAGTAAAAAATGACTTAGTAAATAAAATCTTCTCTGAAATTACAATCCCCAGAGCTTAGATATTTTGCATTTACAGTCACCTTGTTGTCCTCTACAAAAGTTATATCAATCATGTTGATCTCGCCTTGGTCAGTTTTAAGATTTTTATGAAAATACAAGAGCTTAAATATTTCCTCGTTTTTACTTTCATGGATCCATACTATTTGATTAAGTTGATTGGCTAAATTCCAATTCGGTTTATATGCATTCCCTTATCATTCTTTATAGAAATACCATGTATTTAGATGTGTAAAAAAGACATCGAGGAGCATACATTTGGGCTTCTTCCACTTAGCTCAATTATTGGGAGAACGTCTGATTTGTATTGAAAGGGTTGCTGGTTAGATCTTGGGCGAAGCACAGGTTCTCCATCACAATTCATCTCTGACTTTGTGTCTAATGATCATTTATCTGTAACTGTTGATTTAGAAATCTTGTGAAATTATAAGTTGGTCACTTACATGACTTACAAAATAATTGGTAACACTGGTTTGATATCCCAGGACGCCGGTCAATCGACGGCATCCTGAGATATGACCAAAATATGTGTTGACATCGGCGTTAAAACGGATTTACAGAGCATATATTTTTGTTATCATTACATATTGTTTCAAAGTTCTCATTGTGATAAATTTCCATTTTGATATGCACATTCCGTCCTATTATATTAAGATCTCTGTAATGTTTTTCATCACAACAAGTTAGCGGCTGAGACCAGTTTTGAAAGCATTAGGTCAACAATTAACAATATGTTGTTATTCATCCGTTTGATTGTTTTGTGCAAGCACATTTTTACAGCATGTTTACTTTGAATGGATCGTTGTGGTCACGTAAAGTCTTCATTCAGAAAGACTGTATTGTGATTACTGGACGTCATGATTTCTGTGGGTTGTCCAGATAAAATTTACATTTTGTTAGTTAAAACATTTCTTTAACTCAAATCCAGATAAAATTTACACTTTGTTAGTTAAAATATTTCTCTTACTTAAGTCCAGATAAAATTTACATTTTGTTAGTTAAAACATTTCTCTAACTTAAGTGCAGATAAAATTTACATTTTGTAAGTTAAAACTTTTACATAAATTGAAAAAAATGTTTCTGAATTGTTTTGCTAATTGCCAGTATGTTATATATTTTAATGTAAGAAGATAATAAAATGTTAAATGAGAGATGAGTCAAAATGTTCTATTTTTCATAGTTTTTGTTTGAAAGTTAATTACTTATACTGTATATATCAAATGAATTGGGTAAATGGAAGTAATGCTGAAGCTTTTAGTTTTGATAGAGTCGCATATTACAGATCATACTTGTTAATTAAAGTTTTATGGATCAGCAAAACGGTTGGACTAAACGTCTATCAAATGGAAATGGCAACAAATTGAAACGTTTAACTCGAATGATTGAAATCTGCCCTATCAAGCTAAATTATAAACCAATGGAAGGATCGTCTCCTTTGAGATGCTTCATTGCACTTCCATGCAAGCATCAGAAAGCACACAATACCAGTTCAGGTGCTTGAAGTTTATTGTAGTGTACTGGTTACAAATGCGACAAAAGTTCCGTTGACTTGGGGTCCAATGTCTATGTAAGTAAGGGACGAAATATGGTCTGACAATGTCCGTTCATTTGTCTCAGACAATTGGCTTCCCAAGCAGAACTTTTGATGTCGGTGTAATATATGAAGCATATAAGTATGTTTTTATAAAATGTTAGGTTTGACTTGACAGCAAGAAACTTCTTATTAATAATTTCGCAATTTTCTGAGTCATTGATTGTCTTCATGGTCTTGCTATATTTTTTGTGTCCTGTATGCCTCGCAAAATTGCCAACAGGCGTGAGTATCGCATCAGCGGAGCTCTTGTAAGTGGTTTTAATGTGAGCAAACAGTTTGCACCATATTTCGAGAATAAAAGCCCGATGACAAATATTAATTAACAGTATTTATCTTGAAAATTTCTCCCTTCAACCAGTAATCGTGCATCGTTCTCAAAGTGCTCTGGTCAAAAAGCGTAGGAGCTTCTTCGGCTGAAGATCTGTCTGTTTAAAATGTATTGCAGAATATATTAGCACTTGGTTTCGGTGGTAAATGTATTATTATTTATGTAGTCCGTCAATTGTTGAGCAAATGGTAATAATACTGGTTTGCCATACGAGAAAACCGGTAAGATGGAACAGAAGCCGGTGTGTAAATCGGCAAAAAATCAAAACAACAACACCCCAAAAAACATAATTGAAAAACGAACATATTCAATAGGGAGTACGATAACGTATTTTGCAATCATAAAATCAGGATGATACATCGTTAATATCTGTACTGCGTATTCATATATTGTTTCTAGGTATGAATATTGTATCAACATTTGATTTGGTCGTCAGGATTCAAAGTGCTTTTCCTTTGCTTCCAGATTCCATCGGGATTATATTTTATCCTCTTTACAATAGATGACAATGACATAATGACAATGACAGATGATATGGAATTGGTCAGCCAATGGTTAGTGGACAATAAGTTGTCATTGCATTTGGGTAAAACCGAGTCAATTTTATTTGGGTCCAGGCAAAAACTTAGGTCACAATCTAACCTGCATATAACCTGTTCTGGTACATCCATTGAATCAACTTCATCTATCAAGTATCTTGGGATTACTATAGACCAAAATCTGTCATTTTGCGCCATGGCCGAGTCTGTTCTTAAGAAGGCCAACTCTCGGTTAAAATTTCTTTACCGCAAGAAAGAGTTTCTTACTCAGCATACCAAGAAACTTCTGGTTATGTCTCTTATTCAGTGTCACTATGATTACGCATGCTCTGTTTGGTATAATAGCTTGACACAGTCTTTAAAAAAAATAAGTTACAAACTTGTCAAAATAAAATAATGAGATTTGTACTTGACTTGGACTCTAGAGCCCACATTGACCCATCCCACTTTTAAGTCCCTTTACTGGTTACCGGTCCACAAAAGAGTTGAACAGATAATGTTGTGTCATGTTTTTAAGATAAAAAATGGCCTATCTCCGGATTACATGTCTGAACACTTTATTTCACAAGATTCCATTCATAATTATAGTACAAGACTTAGTCAAAAGGGTGGATATTGTCTAC